TCACAAGTACAGACTGATCATATTTTGTACATTTTAGATATGATTTATTCGGCAAATTTTCGAGCTGACGTCATCAAGTTTTTGGAGGGGATAAGCAAATATATTTTGACTAAACATTTATTATGCTCTTTATAACCTTAAAACATCTGCAAGATGTCAGAGCATTCCGTTTTGTAGTTCCTGATTAAATCAGTAAAATAAATTTACGCATTCATTAATTTTTTTGAGTCACCCTGTATATGCAAATCCAAAAAATATGAATGGAGTGATAGATCACAAGTACAGACTCATCATATTTTGTACATTTTAGATATGATTTATTCCACAAACTTTTGAGCTGACGTCATCAAGTTTTTGGAGGGGATAAGCAAATATTTTTTGACTAAAGATTTATGATGCTCTTTATAGCCTTAAAACATCTGCAACATTTCAAAGCATTCTGGTTAGCAGATTAAAAATTAAATTTCAAAATGTTGTTTTATAATTTTGATTTTTTTTCCAAAAATCTGGACGTTTCGTGTGAAAAGTCGATTCGGAGTTGTAAACTACATGTGTAGGACTATGTTATTTTATACAATTGAAAACCCATTTACTATGTACAAGTTTGAAGTGACGTCATCGCATTAGTGGTGGGGATGATTAGACAAATTTTGGTTAGCGTTTTACCATCTACATGATATTCTTAATATAAGTACAAAATTTCACAACAATCGGTCGAGTACTTTCGAAGATTATCTGTCTAATAAAAATCCGGGACAACAGACGGACAGACGGACAGACGGACAGACGGACGGACAGACGGACGGACAGACGGACAGACGGACAGACAGACGGAAATGGGAGACCTATTTCTTCGTCTTCTAGGGGTCATGAAAGATCGAGAAAACGTAAAAGTAGAGAGTCGGCCGACGGACTCGATTACAATACTTCCTTTGCTTACGCTCGGGAAGTAAAAACGTGAAACCTAGTAACTGAAAACTGCCGAGGTGTAACTACTGTCACTATTAATTTATTGCTAGCAACAAATAAACAATGACAATAATTAATGAACTGACAATTATAACTTCAAAATCATAATTTAATCAACCATAAAATGAAACAAAACGTAACGTATGCAACTAGAGCAAGTTTTCAAAATGTCCACCACCATTTCGTATACACGCTTCCGCACGTCAAATCAATGATTGTTGCCTTGTTCATGTAGAGTTCTCCACACCACAAAAGGTAAAACTCCCACTCGGTAAGACAATCGTCTAAAATGTTTATACCTGGATCGTTTTCAACGACATTCAAAATTTCTTCTTCGGCATCAAGTGTCCGTTCTGTCCTTTCACGACCACGATCACTAAAACGAGGTTGAAATTTCCCATTTTCTCGTAGACGCTGAACAACGTTAGCAAATGTTTTATGATTTGGCAATCTTCGTTTGGGAAATGCTTCTTAGTATAAACGTCGAGCTTCCAAGGAGTTTCTTAAGGCTTGTCCATACATCAGAACCATGTCAGTCATTTCAGAATTAGAAAAATTCATTTTGTTCTTCCAAAAAATTGCAAAAACGTCAAAAAATGATGGGCTAATGAATCTATTGTCATGTTAACAAGCAACAATTTTACCTACTTTAAATTACTATAGTGATCAAATTTACCTTTAACATTTTTGGAATCAGTAGCGCACACGCAAATTTTAACAGATTTTCAATCAATTTTATCTCGAAAACTAAAGGATTTTTATTAGATCAATATTTGATGCATAAATTCTCTACATCATGACCAATTACCTTAAAAAAAGTTTCCATCTATTTCAAAAATACCCTGTATATGAAGAATATATGGATTTCGTTTCAAAATTCTGTATTTTTTTGTGTTTTTACTTCCCGAGCGTAAGCAAAGGAAGTATTGTAATCGAGTCCGTCGGCCGACTCTCTACTTTTACGTTTTCTCGATCTTTCATGACCCCTAGAATACGAAGAAATAGGTCTCCCATTTCCGTCTGTCTGTCCGTTTATCCGTCCGTCTGTCCGTCTGTCCGTCTGTCCGTCTGTCTGCCGTCCCGGATTTTTATTAGACAGATAATCTCCGAAAGTACTGGACCGATTGTTGTGAAATTTTGTACTTATATTAGGAATATCATGTAGATGGTAACACGCTAACCAAAATTTGTCTAATCATCCCCACCACTAATGCGATGACGTCACTTCAAAATTGTACATAGTAAATGGGTCTTAAATTGTATAAAATAACATAGTCCTACACATGTAGTTTACGACTCCGAATTCAGTTTTTACCCGAAACGTCCAGATTTTTGGAAAAAAAATCAAAATTATAAAACCACATTTTGCAATTTAATTTTGAATCTGCTAACCCGAATGTTTTGAAATGTTGCAGATGTTTTAAGGCTCTAAAAAGCATCATAAATCTTTAGTCAAAATATATTTGGTTATCCCCTCCAAAAACTTGATGACGTCAGCTCAAAAGTTTGCCGAATAAATCCTATCTAAAATGTACAAAATATGGTGAGTCTCTTGTTGTGATTTATCATTCCATTCAAATTTTTTCGATTTGCATATACAGGGTGACTCAAAAAAATTAATGAATGCGTCAATTTATTTTATTGATTTAATCAGGAATTACAGAACCGAATGCTTTGAAATCTTGGAGATGTTTTAAAGTTATCATAAGCACGTTAACTTTTTTATCAAAATGTATTTGCTAATCCCCCCTCAAAAAATTTGATGACGTCAGCTCGAAAGTTTGCCGAATAAATCCTATCTAAAGCGTAAAAATATGATGAGTCTGTACTTGTGATTTATCACTTCATTCATATTTTTTAGATTTTCTTAAGAGGTGGCTCAAAAAAATTAATGAAGTCAATTTATTTTATTGATTAAATTAAAGGCAACACTTATTATTAGTATTACATTGGACCAACCCAATTTGGTAGACACAAAATTTTTTAAAGTAAAAACTCGGTTGAAACATAAGGGTAGCACGCTTATTTACATCGACTTTAATATTACAGACGTGTGCGCTGTCTAGGTTCCGCGAATGTGGAATAGACATGTTTATAATCAACCAATTGTGAATTCCACCGTCAAAAATTAAAATAAAACTCAATGTTTTATATAATAAGCGGAAGTCGAAGCAATAAAACCGATGGTCGTTTTGTTTACAGTTTCTCTGTTTGACTCTCACGTATGCTGTTACGCTTGTCATCTTAAATTAAGAACGCTTATACATACACGATTTTCAGTTCCCTCTCATATTACACGCCGGCGCCGTATACGTGAGTAAATTGTTTCGTTATTTTATTGATTATAACAAATCAATATTCAAAACGACCCAATTCATTTTCCCGAAAATTTGGGAATACAATAATTTTATTCTTAGTATTACACTACATCTATCCCAACTGATATACGTGTCCTTGCAAAAATGTTGATGACGTCATCGCAATTTTTTTTTTAAATTCCCAGTACAAAAATGTAATGAGAAAAAATACAATAGGCATGCAGTCGTCAAGTTTCCGACAGCGAGGGAAGTACTGTCTAAACTCTTTAGACCAATTTTTTTATTCTTAGTATTACACTACATCTATCCCAACTGATATACGTGTCCTTGCAAAAATGTTGATGACTTCATCGCAATTTTTTTTTAAATTCCACACTACAAAAATGTAATGAGAAAAAAAACACAATAGCCATGCAGTCGTCAAGTTTCCGACAGCGAGGGAAGTACTGTCTAAACTCTTTAGACCAATTTTTTAAATTTATTTTAAAAGGCACAACGTCTGTGCCATGCGGCGTCAGATTATCTTTTTGCCACACAGGCCGTTGTGGCACAACTGTTGTGCCCTGAATCATTGTTACGTCATTCAGTTTTTGGTTGCTATGTTTTTACAAAACGTGAATTAATTGAGTCTGATAGCACCTCTTACAGTGACGCGAATAAAGCTTGGATAAAGGGTAAAATTACTTTGCAACTTTTGGTAATGCAACTGAAGTTTTTTTCTTTCCTTATACTCTGGGGAAGCGTTCCAATTTTTTTGTCGATGCATTTCGCAAACACGTGTATATACTACTATACTTACATTAGTTTCATTATTTCTATTTGTAATTGTATCATATAAGCGCAGTATGAATAAATTCACTGGAAAGGAACATTGTTTATCTATTATTATTAATATTATTAATATTATTATTATTAATATACCCAAAGCTCCATAGCTTACAACAACCCAGTTACGGAGCTTCAACTATATGAATGACAAAAATTAATAAGCGTTTATCCGAAAAAAAGAAAATAAAAAAACACCGTTAATTTAAATATTGAAATAAAACAACCACAGCAAAATCAACAGTAAAATAGAATTGAAAAAATACGGCAATCTGAAACCCCTACCTAATCTGCTGCCCTAGAATTCATATTTTTTTAAGTAATCTGTAAGAATTTTTCTTGTTTTTATTCCTATCCATGTAAATGTCGATGTCACAGTAGGAATTATAATCTTGTTGAATTACCACTGCATCATATGTATTGGGAAGGATTTCAAAATCTTCGTCCTTGATTTTTTAATATAAAAAATGGTTTTTGTCTCACAAACTTACTGAGTCAGGCGCAGTAACTTATTTGCTCAAGCAACAAGGAGCATCCAGTCCAGTCTATTGTTCGCAGAGAATGTAAGAAAATCACTAAATTCGTCGCGCCTCAGGAGTCTACACTTAATACTAAAAATCTACTCAACAGTATCTTTTGAGGAACATGCGAATGGGATAGGTGCCATAGATACCAAATACGATATACTTTAAAAACCGTCTGCACTTTCTCAGATACTTACGCATTATGTAAATTAATGAATGTAAAAATAAATGACAAATCTGATCATTTTGCACTAGTGCACTAGTCCAAAATTATCACTGAAATTCATTTATTGGCGTCAAACAAATATAAATGCTTTGATTGGGAGAATTTTTTGAAGGCGATAGTCATATTATAAATGTTTACCTGTATAAAAGTTTTGATAGAAGTCGCAGCAGGAACAACGTTTCTTTACCATCTCTTGTAACGTGAGACAAATTTATCAGAATATATTCCAGAGCATAATTAATTCTCTCATCATAACCGTAAAAATCTTCACAATTTACAAATAATTCAAGCAGTCTGACGCACATCCTAGAAGACAATAAGAATTAATGTAAACTGAGCGGTTTCTCTATAAAAAATAAACCGTCGATATTAAAATTTTACTCGTACTCACATTACAAAAGGTCCCTCCACTGTAGTAAAGTTCAAAAGTTGATCATATGGGAAACGATTCAGAAATAAGTTACACTTTTCCTTATCATCCAAAATTCTTTTAATAACAGTTGAGTTTTCGACCAAATGCCGCAATGTCTTCGGTGATAATTCAAAAGTTTGCCAATAATCCATTTTACATTTGTTAACAACTCGTTTTAAGCAAACGTTCACAAACTTTTACCGGTTTTTTAAAATATTGTAACAAAATATTGTCACAGTACACAAAACTGTCACAATTAAGAAATAAATGTCGTTCCGTCATTGACACCTTGCTACTTGATTAAATTGTTCTGGTTGAATTTTTTATTAGGCAAGTTGTTTTAATATAAATGAATCTGTTTTTAAATTTGATTTAGTAAGTAATTTTCTTCAGAAAATGCTTGTTGAACATTAAACATAAAACAAAATTAGAAAATTTAAAAATGCGATGACTTTATTTTATACAGTAGCGGTCATTTCTACGGAACCACTCGATAAAAAGTCAAGTTGGTAGCCCTGTCATCTAGTACTTTACGCCGAAAGCGGTTGGTAGCGGTAGTTGATATGGCAATCGAAACTAGCACAACACGAATGTTTCTGTTGCCCTCATTTATGCCGCACTGTATCCCGTGCATACTGTATGTTCTGTTCATCTATTTATTAAAATAAAATATCTACATTGACAATGGGGCCATCTAACCTGTCAAATTTTTGACACATATGTTTTCCCCCAGAAACCCGTCAAGGTCACTTACACTCACGGTACACTAAACAAATTTTGAAAATTTACACTAGGGAGTGGTTCCATAGAAAAGATCGCGACTTTACATGTAAAGCATAACCTTATTTAAGTCGCGCTGAAAATTTTATTTAAAAAAAAGCTCAACAAATGACAGTGACATGAACGTCTTATTCCCATTGCGTTTCATTGATGGGAACCTGACTTACTCGTCTTGTCCAGTTTTTTTTTTTTTTTTTGTAATAAAATATCATCATTTTAATATTATCCATTTCAGATCGCTAGAAATAACTAAAGCTAGTATATTTATTTTTTGAACTGCCATTTTTCCAATTTAAAATTGACTTAGAAGTGTCAAACCGAATGATTAATTTTCCATAAAATATCAAACTGTTAGTCTAAATAAATAAATTAATCCAATTCGTCCACAACCTCAAATCCTGGGTAATCTAAATCAGATTTCGCCAAATTTATAACCACAGGTGGACTATTGTCAACCAGTGAAGTTCCCATTAACTCTTCGAGTCGTCGTGAATTAGTTTTTCACAGTGCAAAACATTTTTTTTTCCAAATGCTTGAAGTGCACGACAGTATGGCTTTCAGCCATAAATTGCGACCTATCTTGTGACGCTATGTGCTTATTACCATGCCAGCCCTAGAAGATTGTACTGGCAATGGTACGGTGGTCCCATAACTCGTTAATTCCTTTAAATATGTCTTATTGCATCGTATTCCACGTCTGAGGGCAAAATCCTCATAAGAACTGTTACTACCTTAATGCCATTGAGCTTTCCAAAACGAACAACTACTCCGATCCAGGTTCAATCACATCAGATCTTTCCTGGTCTGTACACGTTGTTTACATTATCAGGAAGGTTAACAAAATAGTGTATTTAATAACCAAGTTTTCAGGAAAACCAACGTCAAGGTTATTGCTGCGCTATATAAAACATGTAAGAAGAAGTTCGGCACAGACGTCAAAAAATGCTTCATCACTAACAGTGTTCGAATTTTGGAACTTCCTACCAGCTCATGTTGTCAGTTGCAAAAATCTTACCGAGTTCAAAATTAGACTGGATTTACATCAACGAGACCTGTGACGAGACTATCCTCACGTAACTGTGTTTGGCGTAGACCTCTGTCCGAACGTATTTCTGATAATAATAGTATCATTAATAATAACAGTAATATGTACTAATATGCAAGTACGAAAAATCAATTAACAAATCTAATAAATCTAATAGAACAGTTTTCCGGTGACATTAGGATGAGCTTCGGTGTTGAGAAATATAAGCAGTGCGCGGAATTATATCTTACTGGTGCAATCCCCCAGTTGAACTAAGGTGTGTTTTACGGCGAGTAGTGAGGACGCTTTGATCTAGTCCACAAGGCCCTTACCAGTGCGTCGCGCTAGGAGTGTGTGAATACAGCTAATAATAATACTACTTTTACAGTACTATATTACTTCAAATAATAATACTCGGTGCCCTTTTTCATTTTTCAACCACAAGACCACAGAGTTGTTATCTTGAAATGTTATATTATGCTAATATAGGAAAATATATTTGTAATCAAAGTATCGACGCGGCAGCACTGGGTCCAGCGTCCGAGATATTATTCCACGCATTGGTTATAAGACTCAAGCAATCAGAAAATGCGTTCAACAACAAATACCATATATAACCCAGAATAACGAAATCACCAAAGCCCAAGAACGAAACGAAACATACAAATATCTGCGCTTTCATCGGTCTTCCCGTATAGATCATACCAAAACTAAAACAAAGTTCAAAGAATAATATCGGGCAATATTAAAATTAATTTTGAAAACACAGTTAAACGGAAAGAATTTAATGGAAGCCGTAAATACATGATGTGTTGCACTGCTAACATATTCTTTTGGAATAATTAAATGGTTAAAAACTGATTTAGAAAATTTAAACATCTCAACAAAAAAATCATTCACACAATATAGAAGACATCATCCGAAGTTATCAACTATTCAACTGGCAGATTTTCATTACTAAGGCAGAACAGAGGAAGGGGATTCTAGTAGTTAGAAAATATATACAAGAGACAAGTTTCGGAATTGAAGAAATTTCCTGAGACGCGCAGAAACAAACGAACTGTTTCGCTCCATAGCAGGGACAGACTTAAGAACCACACATCCTTAAATCTATCCAACACCGAAGAAATCCCCACACCCCACAATCTAGACAACATAATAAGTGGGCTGAAACAAAAACAACTACATGGAAAATTCTTCACAGAGCTAGACGAACAACCCCGTAGCTAGACAATTTATTCAGAAGGGGCAAGTTTGTCGACAGAAGGGGCTTCTTGTAAATATATATATTTTAATAATACACTCAGATAATTACTTTATTTTTTTCTTAGTTTTTACATTTGAAAGAACATTCAAATAATTGTAAACGTCGATTTTTTACGCTTTTACGCTATTAAATTTTCGTAAAAACCTGTCGAAGTCCAAAGAATTGATACGGTACTTTTCAAAAGCCAGAAAAACCAAGTTTATCAATCTTTGATACGTCATTGAACGCGCAGTGCGATCTATTCTGGTTAAAACAGAGAATGTAGATTCACAAACAGCTGTACTGCATCCAAAAATTCTTGCAGTGGCCAATAACACTAGGTAACAACCAATTTGTTTGAGTTTATTTTTTTGTATGATTAGTAGTAGCTACGGGGTTGTAGACGAAACTCACATCAACAAGAAATTGTCATTGATTTGATCCAAAAAATCAAGTTTATATGCCCAAACAGAAAGGGTTTTTGTTTTTTATTCAAGACCAAGAATTACAGAAAATATATAATCAAAGATCCAGATATAAGAAACGATTGTTGTTGAGTTTGTAAAGAAAAACCCGAAACGATTCAGCACAAAACTTCATCCTTTGCAACCTGGCACAACACACAACACAATACAAACATATACCAAAATTCCAAAATATCTATAGATGTGATCAATAGAAATGAAGGCAATGCTAAATTTTGAAAAAATTTCTATTCTACCTTTAATTATCTCCAATGTAGGTGTAGTACCAAACAACCACTAGGTCAGAGTAGTGTAGGTCATTTTTCAAGTAATGCGCATATAAATGACCGGTCGTTACGCTAGGGTCTTGGGAATGAGGTGAGACTGAACAATAATAGCAAACGAATTTGTATGCTGTAATTCTAGGATCTCAAAAGTTTTTTATAAATCTAATCGATGCATATCATTACTTAGTCTTAGTACCCGTAATGATACATGCCTGAATGCCAATCATTTCCGGGTCAGTGGTGGGTCCCAACTATGGTAGATATCCTTCTACCATGGTCCCAACATACTAATTTAGAATATTCGGAAACAAGTATTTAGAGAATGGTGTCCAAAAAAAAACATACAGCACGTAAGTGGGGTTCCATTTTTTAGCCATCACAATTCAGGGCCGACTTTTGAATTTTTCATGGGCTTTACAATTTTGTTTATATCATAGAGGTAGGATTCTACCTCCATGGTTTACACCACCTGTGGTTTATACCGTGTGATCAGAAATTACTGAGTCTGTTGGCAGTACTTTTTAAATAAAAATGTAAACTTTTCTTGCGTTAAATTTAGGTTATGTTTTGGACACATTTTGCAATTAAAAATGTCAACAATGGTAGCTGAAAACCGGAAATCATAAAAAACATGAAACCAATTTCAACTAAAATTCAGGACTGCCAACACTCAATCATTTCCGATCACGTGATCTCATTTTAGCGGGATATTTGAATTAAGGCAACAATGGTAATAACAATTCGATGTTTAAATTAATCATAACTCGAATTTTCAGTTCTATTTTATTGAATTTAAAAAATAAATAAATATTGTCGGTTTAGTCATTAACTTTTAAATGTATGCTTAACTAATAAATCCATGTAACTTTGCCGAGTCCTAATTTTAAAAAGCTGAGAACCTCGTAACTCTATGTCGTAAGTTGGTAGATGTTACGTGTAAACGATAACCTTTTAGATTACGTAAATGTACAGGAATTTACAAATAAAGTGACGATGACTGAGCACAATACAATTGCCACAGTATTGCATGCACATGTGACTGATGTTTGTCCTGCGTAATTTTAACATCTGCGTAATAGGGTCTACACTTTGTTTGATATTTTACTCTCACATCACAACATGATCACAACTTTAGTTAAAATTAAATACAAACATGATTGGCACCGAAATGGCACGGAAAAATAATACAATGGCATTAACAGTTTTTAAGTTACCTTGTAACTAAAACTGGGTTACGTGGTCAATTGTTCGAAAATTTCAAAGAAGCACAAACATTATAGCGTTCTCTTCAGAAAAATCTTATATATATAATGCATGTCGTTGAGATATAGATAGAGTTCTCCAGATATGTATGAAATACATAAATGTATTCAAACACCACTAATTTCTTTAAAACCTATTACGTAAACGATTAGATAGATATCTTATGATTTTGCCTTGAGTGAAGAACCGAGTTGGATCATTTCCGACAATGTCTACTATGAAATTTATTTCAATCCCAACAAAGAAAAATAATCCCCTGTTGTCCACCATATTAAATCAATAAACAATACGTTATAAAACAATAATTTAATGGTCAGTATTTATAACAATTTACAGTATAAAAATGTAGTTACAATATGTACACTGTCTTCAATTGAACAACATTTGGAATGTTGATGAAAATCTTCTATATTGCAAATTTACACAACCACGTGACAACATAATAAAAATAAATTAAAATAAATATCAATAAATTACTGAACGCTATTACTGCAATAAATAATGGCAGTTTATCTAGTGTTTGAAAATCAGTGAAAAACTAACGATTCTCGAATTTATGGTGTATGTTAATCTACTTTTACTCTTAGGTCGTTTTTTCTGTTTAAACTGGAAGAATTTTTCCGTCTAAAAATTGACATTAGCACATCACAACTCAAATCATCTGGTGAAATACTAAATATGTATTTAAAGTGAAAACATATGCCTGTTCCTTAAATTGCACGAACTTTCCTTTGAATCAGATTAACTGAGCTCAATTTATCATCGTATTCCTGTGCTTTAATATACATGAATACCCCTGCTATCACAGTTATGGTTCCCACAGCACTCAATAGCGTAACTTCATTACCAAACATTATCACTGACAGCCATATTAAAAAAGCTCTTTTTGCTGTATTTGCAACGCTACAAATAAGGTCATAACATACTATTAAAAGTAAAAATAAATCATTTATTACCTATGAGTAACTGGGCTAATGTAATCCATCAAAACATATGCAGTAATGCTTTGAAAGTGGAAAAAAATTCCATTCAACATAAAATAGAACAATATGTTGAAATCGAAGGATTTACTGTGATGGATATCCACTAACAAAAGAGTAGCTGGGATTTGAATAACTACACTTGCTATGCTAGTGTAAAATTGTAGTTCTGCTGGTCTGAAATAAGTATTCTTAAATTTTATTATGCAAAAAGAGCTATATATCTTACGTATATTTAAATTTATCTCCTGATATCAGCATTTTAGAGTACACATTTTGGATACATTCTGTTAAATTTGTAGCCATTGCTGCAATAAAACCTTTCATCTCAAAACTAATTTCATTAATTGAACACAGAGCTAAACCAGACATGACCGGTAATAAACTCAAGTTCACATACAGCCCTGTATGTTCTCCTGCAAATGAAAAGTTATATTCATAATAAAGGTAATTCTTACACATATTATCAAGCATAAACTTACCCAACAAAAAACGAGATATTAACACAGTAAATAAAGGTGCAGAACTCTTAATCGTTTCTGTAAAACTGACAGCTACATAATTTAACGCAACTAGTCCCAAAACTACAGTTAAAAATCTAAAATTTAGATAGTAATTTTTTATACAATTTACATCACAAGTTATGAACCTTGTGCACCCTACCAGAACCATATGTCGATAAAACCCTGGTGGTTTACTTAATCGTTGAGACGGTTTGTACATTCCACAAGGGAAGTACAACTGCACAAATCCACATGTTGCAGTCATTAACATCTGACAAGCACCTAAGATTAAAGTTCTCAATAAATATTAATAAAACATATTTTTTTTAAATTACCTAACATTGTTGGATTTCCATTCAGGTACGTCAAAATATACTTGTTTAAAAACAAAGTACAGCCACTGAAAAAATACCACAGAAGAAGAAAAATTATAGCCCTAAGACTGGCAAGCCCGGCCTTATGATTATCGACATCTGGCCCTTTTTCTCTCTTCACAGGTACAACGTTGTCTTGTTTTACATCATTGGAGTTTTGATTAACTTGAGCTTTATCCATTTTTTAAATACATCAAAGAGAAATCATCTAAATATCATACCAACGTTAAAACTAAAAGTTCTGTCTTGTAATGGAAAATAAACGTTACAAGTAAGATTAGCAACTAGGAAGGAACAATATTTTTGAGAATATTTACACGTCAGTAGTGGTGGAAAGAGTAAAAGTGATTCATAACCTCAAACAATAACAGATCACAGATTAAAGGGGTGGCGGAAGATATCTTCAATCAGTGGCTTTCAAACAATTCTTAATTTAGAAATCTATTTTTTTTAAATGCTCGGACAGGTCGACTTTAAATTTTAAAACGACACATTTTAACGTAAAAAGTTATTTTTTTGTTACCATCACAATGACGTCATTAACAATTTTGTTAAATGGAAACTCCAACTTTTTCTTTCGGATTTTGATAGAATGACCTTTTTATTAGTTAAATGCTCGTATAAAAAAGCTGATACCTTAAAATGCTATTACAGTTGGAAAAACAAAAATTCGATTTTCATAGGAAACAAACGAGGGATTCCAAACTATTAAAGCCATGCTATCCAAAATATTGTTTTTATCTGTCAAACAAAAAGAGTGTCCACGTTGCAACAATAAAAGAAGTTTCTTGGAATCCAAAACCTGAGAATTGCTAAACGTGCTAAATTTGACAAAAGGTGACACGTTCACAAGACCCCTTATCACTTATCAGAAATATGGTGCATTTAACCGAATGCGGTAAGGTGCCAAGGCAAAAAGTCAGGAGGAGGAAAATGCTTTATGTTATCAACAATATCCTGATAGATCCCCAATCACCAGATTTACATACTTATAGCAAATATAAAATAGTAGTAAAATTTTCGGAACATGGTACTGTAGGCACGAGACTTACTGAGACGGGGTCGACCTCCTGTACCTCCAAGACACTAAATAAAATATTTATTTTTCTGGAAACCGAAGAAAATCCGCAAAAGTCTGTCAGATAACTCGCTTTAAAGACAAACACCGACCATACATTTGTTACCAAATTTAAAAAAATATATCATCCTTACAAAGTGCGTTTAATTCATGGGTAAATGAAGATGGTCTCGAAAGTTTTGTGAAGAGTTGATGGTACGTTGTGATGGGACACTCAATTTTCTAAATAATATTCTCTTTTCCAATATTCAAAATAAAGTTACCTTTACTTTAATCGGAATAGTAAATCACCATAATTGTCAATACTGGTTACGAAATAACCCTCCTTGGACACAAGAATGTCATACTCAGAATGACAGCAAAAAAAATGTGTGATCACCTTAGATCATATAATAAATAGATACCACCATGCCGTGTTCTTTCCCTAGGACAGCCTGTGACGACATCCTCCTGTCACACATCTCTCTCGTGCATGGAGGGATTAGAATGAAGCTATCCTTGCCTGATCACTATTTGAATTTTGCGCGCCTAAATTTTAGGAAGTATGTCTGAACTAACTTCGGAAGAAAGATGTTGACAGCTTGATTTTATAAATAATTCACAGTAGATAACGAAAGCAATAGTAAATTATTGGGCAGCAATTGTGATCCTCTATGACTACATCACTTAAAATAGGATCTTTGTTCTAAATTCTAAAATTGTTTTTTGTACAACAACTCGAAAGAGAGGTTAGAAGAAACATCTGTCAAAAGCGACTTGTTGCGCTGGTGCGGTACAAGGATGGAAGTGAAATAGACATATACAGATGAAATGCATATAACAAAGATGAAGATGTGGTGATCACACAAGGATAGCATTATACTACTCCCCTGGACGTAGAAAACGACAACAGATAGCTTCATGTCTAGTCACACCTTTCAGTTTGAGTATTGGTATCTATTTATTATATGATCTAAGGTGATCACTAGACAGTTGTCTGATCGGACCCTCCTTTTTTAAGGTAACAGCTGTGCGTTATTTAATGTTCTTGCATTTTGACTATTGTGGTGACCGAATTTAAATCAAAGTTTTCGCGCTGAAATTAATTGACAGCGGCGCGAAATCGCATTTGAATAATTTGAATTTGAAAAAAAAAGTTCAATCACGAAAAGGAACTCCTTAAACATAGGCAACCAAATATGCATGGATGGTCTAATGCACGTAGCGCTTAGGAGTTAGTTGCATGATCTTTGGGTTAGATGGCAGCACGTAGCGCTAGGGTAATTTCAGTTAGAGGGTTGGTAGAAAGGCGGCATGGCGGTAGAGTGTGTCATTCTGGTGTGTTTCGTGTAAGTGTAACCACGTGGTAAGAGCTAGGTTTAAATTAGTTGGTTTGGTAGTTAATAAAACGGGAGGAAGCCTTTGTTTAACGACGATCAAACGTATTTTTCATACTGATACAGTTGTCCCCAACCCGCGCGGTAAATTCTTGCGCCCTTTTAATCGAAAATTGCAGACTTCCGGTCGGACGCGAACACGTGTTGTGAATCTGTTCTTTGTTTGAAAATTCACAAATCAAGCTACTTTTTCTTAATACTCAGCTAGAGCAAACACAATTTAACAATTAGGATTATTTAAATGAACCATTTGCTAGAAGATTTCATGAAATTCACTTAGTCAGGAAAAACACCTTATGTTTAATTACGAATAGGTCTCTGGATGCATATACGTAAGTGTTACATTATAACACTTCTAAATTCTTCACACAAGATTGCTAATAGTTCATTTACGGCAGTTAAACAAGTTCATTATACTGCGGACTGGCGGGGGGTTATGATATTTTCTCCCCTTAGGTGGTTATCATCGTTATCACGATTAATTCATCGGGGCATGTTTCGCAACGCCAGATTGATTAATTAATTAAGGCATGCCCCCAACGCTACAGAAAATTTACGTTACCGAGACGCTTTTTCCTCGCAACGATTTTGGATTCATCACCGAGACGCTTTTTCCCTCGGAGCGATGATTGGATATTTTTGTATTTGTTTATTATGTGTTTTGTTGGGGTAACCAGTTCGTAGTATTTTAACTTCTCAAAGTAAATTATTTTTGAAGTAACCAATCATTTAGATCATGATATAATTTGGCATAATGTAAACTCTTTGTTTGAACCGTTGATAAAGTGTGGCAAATATTAATCTCCTGTAAATTATGTTAACTCTGCAATTTTCACATCATACTATATTTCTTAATCTCACAATCTTAACCTCAGTAATTTTATTTGTTGTATAAATTTAATTGAACGTAAATTTCATGTTCTACAGTTCTAACCTCACATAACATTTCTATTTGTACAAGTTTATTTCACACCAGATCTTTCGTCTCATAAATCCTTGCTAAGTTTTGTTTTGTAAATACTTTGTTGATGAATGTTTTCTATCATATAAATTATTTGATGCCCAACTTTAATCCCACATAAGAATTATTTGTTGTCTAAGATTTCACAAGATTGTATGGCGAATTTAAATGTTGTTTATTGCTCTTTGAAACTTTAACACTTGTTCAGTTGTTGTTAACATCAGAGTTATAAGAGATTGATGAATGTTTTAAAATGGAATTGAGGTTAAATGACACAGAAAACGTGGCAGAAGCGAGGTTTGGTTCCTAGTCGAGCTGGCGAGATTTATCGCGCCACCTGTACAAGTCCACAGGTTTGGATAGATTCAGGGGGCGGCCGCCGACGTTGTGAATTTCTCGATTTGGCCCAATAGTCGAGATCTTTGCGGGTTGGACGACCGTAATGGCCTAGTTCCGCAGGGCAAAGTTCGTCATGGGATATGCGTGTGGGGTAGGCTTTGCGATAGATAGAATCATCGTCGCGGGGGGAGAACAGTTCCAGACCGGTAGCTCAGACTCCTCTTATGCTACAACGCTCCAGGGGTACTTTTGTTGTGCTCCTGTTAACTGCCGTAACAAAAAAAAAAGGGAAAAGAGATCGGCCGCCACACGCCTGTAATAACTTGTGTATTTGCATCCAGTTACTTGATTCAGTTTTTGCTTTGTTTATTAAACTTATGATATTCAAATATTTGCATTGATTCCAAACAGATTTATAGAATTTTCCATTTGTTCGTTTTTCATATGTGTATGTCTGTAAATTCGCGAGTGTTTTTCTTCCAGTCAATTCGCGAGTGTTTTTCTTTCAGTCAATTCGCGAGTGTTTTTCTTTCACATATCTTAAGGGTTTTGAAATGTAATAAAATGTCGTCCGGGAATAAAACCAAGGGGGTTTTTGCGCTGAGGGGTAAATCTTCGCAGCGTATTTCCCCCTGTGAGGGTGGTGCCGTTTCCCCCCCTCCAAAACAATTTCTGTTAATTATTTCTTGCGCTCTCGACAGTGTATGCACTTGTATGAAAGAACTTCTTCCCGCCATTTTTCAAAACCACAAAAAAAAAAAAAACACACAACGTAGGTTCTCATTAGTTAGACGATCACAGCCAAGGCCAAACTTTGAATTTTTGAATTTTTCGCGGGCCTTTCAAACTGTTTCAAGGTCAAAATTTAAAGGCGGGAAGTTTGGGTTATCACACTATGTTCCTTTTCATACAGTGTTTTGTTTCAAAACCACGAAAATGGTGAATCTGCATTTTGACGTGAAAGTGCAAGAGTTTCTTGAAATCATTTTCGAGGAAAGATGGATAGGGCGACGTGGAGCTTTTGAAGGGCCGGTTCATTCGCCAAATTTAACACCCTTTGATTTTTTGGTGGGTTATTTAAAATCTTAAAGTCTGCCTTAACAGACCAAACAATTTCGACGATCTCATGAACCAAATTCGAATAGAAAGGACCAGTATCTCCCCAAATACCATTAAACAGACAGTACAAAATTAGTTGGTATAGATCGCAGTTTGAACAATGCTGTATATAGTTTTATTGTTTTGCTATAGAATTTCGGTTCAAATTGTATTAATAAATTGAATTTTTGTTTTTCAACAGCGGGATTCTTCCCAGAAAATATACTTATGCTTAGCAACCTTTTTTCTATGGAGCATTTAATTAATAAAAAGATCTAAAAGAAACCACAAGTATTATGAGTCGGCATCTATACCAAAACAAATCATGCCGGCTTGCGCCATTAGCTCTTTCATTACTGCATTAGACACTAGAATTAGATTAGAATAAAAAAAAAAAAACAAAAACCGTATTCATATTTTTATTTAAATAAAATTTTGCTTAATCAAAATCGCTGTCAAACTGAATATCTTGTTTCTCATAATCTTGTTTCAACCAATAACCAAGTACAAAATGTAAATACGGCCCTCTATAATGATGACGGTATGGTTAAATCCTTGTTTGTGAGTGTCCCATCACTCCCATCACCGGCAGTAGTAATCTGTTGTTAAGGAACTTCTACACTGGAACAACCAGTTTCTCGAAGGAGCTGGAAGAGCCATTTAATGATCCCAGCCGAAGGCGTGGTATCAGGCGCTTTTTCAAACTATCTTCCTTCCTTTCACTCTACCACCATGATTATTTAAAAAATAATAATAACGTTTATTATTGTAAAGTTTGGAGACGAAGTCTTTCCCACGTTGATAGGGATGATTAAACAAATTTTGGTTAGCGTTTTATCATCTACATGATATTCCTAACGTACAACATACAAAATCTCACAACAATCGGTCCAGTTATTTTGAAGATTATCTGTCTAATAAAAATCGACACAGACAACAAAGCACAGGCGGCTCGTGATTCTAGAGACTACGGGATCAAATCAGATTAAAAAAAGCTTATGATAATTTTATAAGGTTTATGTACTACATTTTTATTTTTCCAACAAGTTTTTTATATAACTGTAATACATGTTTTTTTAATAAGCAAACATTTTAGACCAATGCATTTGCTTTTTACTTCTTGAGTGTAAGCTAAGGAAGTATTCTAATAAGATTTATCCGACAAATCGCTGCTTTCAGGTTTTCTCGACGGTCTATGACCCCTAGGGAAGGAAAAAATAGGTTTCCCGTTTCTGTCTGTTTGTCGTCCGTGTTACTTTTTATTAGACAGATAAACTCCGAAACTATACTGGACCGCTTGTTGTCAAATTTTATATGTACTGTTGCTTTCAAAAGTTTCGCGTACACACCTATTTTTTCTACATTGATTTTCATCTTGACAGTAATTGTACGCCAAACTTTTGAAAGCAACCGTATGTTAGAGTAGTAAATAGTAAACCACTTACCAAAAATTGTCTAATCATTCCCACCAACAATGGGATGACGTCATGTCTAAAATTTACAATAGTAAATGTTATTTAAATTTTATAGTATAAGATTCTCCTCCATTTGCAATTCAAATTTTTGAAAAAAAAAATCAAAATGTTTACAATTTAACTTTGAAAATGCAAAACCGAATGCTCTGAAATCGCAAACATTTTAAAGTGATGTTAGGCATAGTAAATAGTGAATCAAAATTTGTCCCTCTTAACCTCCTCACAAAATGATGACGTTATCTTACAATTTTGAAGAATAAATGTTACCTAAATATTATAAAATAACATACTTTTGCTTGCGTAATTTATGAAACTATGTGAGATATTATCCTAGAGATGCAAAAAATCACAATTATAATTATGTAGGAGTATTTATACATTTTTTTAATAACAACATTTTACAATTTAACTCTGAGATTGCAAAACCACACCCTTTGAAATCTTGCAAACATGTTACGGTTGTCGTAAGCATGATGAATTCGTAACCCCCTTCCAAAAAAATGTGTGATATGATTTAAGGTGATCATCTCAAAATTTTACTGAATAAATCCTTTCTAAAATACGCAAAATATTGTGACATTTATGGTTGTTTATTTGTGGTTTATCAATGCAATGGATTCATAGTTTTTAATATTACTTATTTATACAGAATGACACAAAACAATTAATGAATTAGAAAATCCATTTTTTTTTATCAAATCAAGAACAGCTCACCTAGTTTTTGAAAATGTACTCTTATTGTTAGTACGTATTACACTGCATCTATTCAAATTAATATACGTATATGTACATGTCCTTCACAAAATGTTGATCTCGTCATTACAAAATTTTATTACAGAAGAACTCACTTGAAAGATACGCAAATTATGCTTCTTTGCCTATAGTTTAAGAGTCCAAACATATCTTTATTGTAACTTGTAAGGTCCCAATTCGAATTTTTAAATTTCAAATGAATTTCGCGCGCGCAAGAAACAGTTGGTAAGAAGAAGAAGAGAAGGTTGGCAACCAACCACCCCAAAGAAAGAGAGATGCGCAAAGCGAGGGTGGTATTGTCTTGAAAAACGGTCACTTCCTTTTGATCGCTTGGAGAGAACAGACCACTTCCTTCGAGCGCTTCGAGCAACAGGTTGTATTTTTAATTGTGAATTATTCTGTGCCTTTTGCTGTTGTGTTTTGTTTTTCCAGTGTTGATCCGTTCCATTGGAAAACCTAGCGGCCCCCGTTGAGCCATTGGGTGTTCCTGATTTCTCATCGTTCTTACGACGAGGTTTTTGCGTTCCTTTTGGCGGTAAGCCGTGTCGAAATCTTCGCATCTTTGGAGAGGTATGTTTTGAACACCTGTTTCGCGGCGAGTTTCAAGTTCCGACGATACTTCTGACCTCGTGACACAGCGACGCGTGCGCCTTTTTCCACTAATCTCGTTTTTTTTCCTTTCATTTAAAATCCGTTGCAGTAGGGCTTTACAGGAAGTGATTTCTAGTTCGGGCCATGCTTTATTTAGCTATATTTGTGAAACCTGTATTTTGGATGGCGGCAAACGAGTTGTTATTTTCACCGTTCTTTGTTCAGGCAGCAGCCATTTTGAAGCGTCCATTTTCTTTCTTTAACCGAGCACATGTTTTAACTGAATCTATTGAACAAAATAACAACATTGTGGGTCATGGGGGGACGTGCCTTTATTCTTTGGATTTAGCACATCGTTTATACAACGCCACAGGATTCATCGTATTTTTGCATCGCATATTTTCGACGCCTATTATTTGGAATGACGAATTCGTCCAACGCCATTTTGCAACTGCAGATTGTCTGCCATGTTTGTTTATGTGTTTTGTTTGGGGAAATGTATGTGTAATAATGGCCCACAATGCAGCTAAATAATTTCACGTTTGAATTTTAACCAATAACTTGACTGGACACGGACTAATATTAATCACATGTAAATCCGTTAACTTTACAATCTTTCACCTCATGCAATTTGTCTTTGTCTCACAATTTTAGCTTCAGCAATTTTCTTTGCTGTATGATTTGAATTGAACGTAAATTTCCATGCTCTGCAGTTTTGACCTAACATGATATTTAATTTGTACAAGCTTATTTCACACCAGATCTTGTTTTTTTAAATCTTTGCTAAGTTTTGCTCATGTAAATATTTTGTTGATGAAAGTCTTTGTCCTGCAAATTACCTGATGTCCATTTTTAATCTCAATTAAGAATTATTTGTTGTTGAATTTTCGTAAGAGTGTGTGGCGAATCTAAATGTTGTGTATTGCTCTTTGTTGAAACTTTATCACTTGTTCGGTTGTCATTTAATATTAGAGTCATAGAGATTGAACATTTAAATAGAATTGAAGGTAAATAACACAATAACACGTAGTGTCGGCGATGGGCGCAGTTCCTAGTTGCGGTAGCGGAATGTGTCGCGCTCTCTGCACATATGTGCAGGCTTTGAACTAGATTTCAGTGGGAACGGTCTTGACGACGAGGTAGTAGTTGACCAGACTTCACCGCTAGTTTTAGGCCGAAACGGCCTGCTTGGACGGCATGTTCGTCATGGAGGGGTGCTGTCTGGCAGGCTTGGTGTAGATAGAATCACCGTCGCGGGGGAAACCAGCCCAGACCGGGAGCTCCAAACTTCGCTCACGCTACGACACCCCCTCTGGGTATTTTGATGTGCTCATAAATGAAATTGATATGTATTTTGTTCTATATTTTGTTCGATCGCCACACCCTCATAATGATTCGGTTTCTGCCATCCAATTTACATATGTGTAGGTCTTGTGTTTGTTCGGTTTTCATATGTGTATGTCTGTCAATTCGCGAGTGTTTTTCTTTCACATATCTTAAGGTGTCTGACATGTAATATGTCGGTGAATAAAACCCCAGGGGGTTTTGGGGAATGAAGACCGATGATGCCTTGGCCCTGCGGACTCGCCAGAAGGGCAAATCGAGCGTCTGTCGTTCTTCGTTTCTTTTTCCTCCTTAGGAAGGCTCCTAATTTTGTCTATTATTTCTGGCGCTCTCGACCGTGTATGCACTTGTATGAAAGAACTTCTTCCCGCCATTTTTCAAAACCACAAAAAAAAAACACACAACGTAGGTTCTCATTTGTTAGACGATCACAGCCAAGGCCAAACTTTGAATTTTTGAATTTTTCGCGGGCCTTTCAAACTGTTTCAAGGTCAAATTTTAAAGGCGGGAAGCTTGGGTTATCACAAACTTCTAGAGTATTTCACGAAAAATTACAATTTGCAAAATTAAAATTTATAATTGTTCAAAGAAGCCATCTTTGTTCGACTAATGAAGGTAGAACGAAGGTCATCTTATCTCCATGGTTCGACTGTACTTTGTAGGTAATGAAAGTTCTATCGAAATAACCTTCGATTTTTTTTTTAATTTTTGTCTGGGAGGGGAAATGCCTTGGGCAGACCACCGTGTTGGTTCTCGGCACGGGGTAATGGGGGATTACAATAAATTGCTTACCACCCTAAAACTCCTACATCTTCTGCTCGGGTACCAGAACTTTGTCCTCTTCATCTGGGTCCTGACTTTTGAGTGGCCACAGAAATGCTGTGCCACTGCAGTTCGATTGAGCTATTGATTCGCCTAAGAGATTGCCCCCCATCATAGGCTTTAATCTTACGGTCCTCCTCTGGTGGTCGGTGCAATGTCCTGACACAGAAAAATGTGCGCTATGCGCTGGCATTGGATATAGTTACTTACCTACCTCTTAGGAGTGGTGTGGTCGGGGCTGGGGAAGACCGGGGGTGGCCGGTCGGTAAAAACCTTCGACCATCCTTCGACCAATTTTTATGAAATATCAAATGGTTTTGAAATTGTATTTCTGGTTGCGTCTTGAATTTTTTAGGCGTGGAGTTTCTAGTGAATAATCCTGTATACATATGGAATGTATGCATCTATATAAATTACGGCAAACGATAAATGCAAATGACTCCAATTATGAGTATTGCTGCTGTAAAATCTCCAGTCGCTTTCGACGCTGCATCCTGTGTAAAGCTGTCAGTTAAAATTAGTCGCTACCTTCCAGGGCCGTATTTGTTCTGTAGTAAATACATTCCTAATGGGTATTGGTTTTATTGCAGGTTGCGGTTTAAAGAACTAAATACCCCTCATTAAATAATTGACGGCATTTGCAGTTATCTTTTGCCGCACTTTACTATAAAATGGTTACCGTTTATTATGCAACCAACTTTACACATAATTACAAAATATTGTAATAAAGTTCATAAACATTTTATTATTACTAACTATAATAATCTGCATGAAACTAAATTTGGTCATTGTAAAGTTTGTTAAAAATAAAAATAATAATAACAATGAATAAATCATAAAATGAATAAAATTGTATATAAAAAAAATATATTTAGTTTAGAAAACGAAGAACGTTACGGCTTGAACCAATTTTAATGTGATATAAAGAAATGCTCCCAAAAATGAAAAAATACAAGAATAACTTTTTTATAATGCTTTTCAAGTGTTTTTTAATTTGCTACAGTTTTTCGTTTTCTTTTTTTGTTTGACTTATATAACCTAACCTAAAAAAATAGTTTAGGTTGCGAAGATGCCGTGTATAAGAATGTTCAGGTAAACGGAATAAGAATGTTAGACAAAGTTGGTGGCTTCATACATTAATCTTGTTCTGAGATTATTAAATAATTCATTATTTCTTTATCCAAACGTTCTGTTCTGTAATCTGAACTTTGCTCTTCTCTTGTCACTTGCCAATGACATTTTAAATATTATGCCCCCATAAATCAATTTGTTCCAGTGATGCTGCGGCTTAATTTACGCTGTAACTTAAAATACAATGGAAGTTGTATTGATTATTTCTTAGAAGCGTGGCAGGGAGTGTTATGACAGGGAAACAGGTGCGCGGTCATCAACCCTCGCCGTTATAAACATTGATCTGTATGAAAACTCTATAAGAGGCTAAAGGAATGGCCTCTGCAAGTATTTTTTTTCTAACAATCAACATGTGACATCCGCCCATAGGTTTTATTTGTCAAAATGCAGAAGAAAGAAGAAAGTTTCGAACAGAAAAGATTGGAACTCGAGGCATGGCTTCAAAGGATGGAATCGCGACTGGCGTCCATGGCAGCTGTGGGACACACCGCCGATGTACTCGAAGTTCAGCTCAGGGAACAAAAAGGACTACATGCAGAACTTCATCAATTTAAAGCACAAATCGAATCCTTTCAACAACTTACCCAAAGACTGATCACGGCACACCAGCATGAAGACACTAGTCGATACAAGAAGGTAAGGGTTGCTTCACAAATTTTCAAAATGTTTTACAGCGTTAAAGGCAAGGTCCTCTTTTGAAATGTTCCAGGTGTAAAGTATGTATGCTCAAGTAAGTGCATAGCCAAACCAAGTTTGTCGAATTTGTAATTATTGAATAATTTAAGTTTAATTGTCTGATAATGGCAAAAGATTCCGCAATATAGAAGCACAAATTCAAGTAGTACATCGGATAAGCTGAATTTGCTCTTATACTAAAGGTAGAGACCATCGGGCGTATGTATCTATAGAGTTTGTTTCAATTTTTTTAACTTCTGTACATGATTCAGTCATTCCTGCAAAATGAAACAATACCTATGGTCCAACTGTTTTTATAATTGTAAATATAGTATTTGTAAAAATATTTTTTTATGTAAGTGTTGTGCTGAGGTGACGAGCATAAAAAAATACTTAACAACATGAAGACATAACATAACGTAGAAATCCGATAATGTCTAAAAAAACACTTATATTCTACTTTTCAACCGATTTTATTTGATTGCATATTGGTATCTCAACTAAAAACTGGACCATTATATGCTAAATAAAAATCTGTGATACTCAATAGCTACGGTAGAGAACAAGTTGACCTTGAGCTTGAAGATATCGGGTAAACAGGGTGCCAAAAATGTTAACAATAACGTTGTATAATTAGGCAGTGCTTCCATTTTAGAAGAACTGTTTTCAAAAATATGGACCTATTTGGCGAGATTTAATTTTTTAAGCTGGCCATATCAACTTTTCCGTATTAATTTCGTATGTGTAATTTAACACTGCTTATATCATAATTTCAGAAAAATCAAATGTGTTGTCTCTGAACCAATTGATAAAAAGAATTAAGGCAAACACTTTTTGAGACATTTTATGTAAGTGATGAAGTAGGTACAAGAAATACCACATTTTAGGTCATATTTTTCTATAATAATTTATTGAGATGAACTTCTTGAATAACAAAAGTCATTTAGTTTTCACTAAAAATTGCTTGGGCTATAAAAAGCGTATTCAAATTTGAACTTTTTTTTTTACATTTTCTTATTCAGTAAAACATAAAAAAAAAACAAAAAATTAGATATTCGTCTAAGTGAATATCGTAATAATTTTCTGTTATTGTTCTAGAAATAACAGAAGCTGCTATTATTTAAATTAAATTATAATATATTATTAATTAAATTTAAACCACTAATTTTCGGACTCCAATGGATCGTGCGCTATTCTATAGCTCTGTTGCCGAAAAATTTTTACTTTGTGCAACTTTTGGCAAGACATTTGATACTGATGAAGTGTTTTTCCAGAAACTGGAAAAGCATCATTTGTCGTTAAGATAATCGCTATTTTATACAAAAATATGCCTTTTTAAAATCATAAAAAATTGTTCGTGGAGACCATTGTTCAAAAAAGAAATATTTTTCTCTTCCTTTGCTTAATAAATGTGACTTTTTTTTTACTATATTGTGTAATGTTTTGTTGATTGTTTTAAGTTAGGGATAACTCTTTCGCCTATGAACTTACCATGACATACAGTTTTACCTGCAAATTTTCAACAGAATTTATGAAATTACACTTATAATTCCTTACGTTGAATATTATAGGCAGCTGAATACATTAACCAACATTACTATCGTTTGGATGCGTGTGTTATTAACCGGGGGAAGTTACTACATTCCGCTTTAAGCTCTCTACAGAACCTAGACCGCTCTCTCGATAAATTCTTAGCCTGGCTCAGCGAAGCCGAATCTGTGATTGAAACTTTGGAAGGGGATCCAGAATCTCGTAGAGCCTCTCATCAACTGAAAGAGCTACAAGCCGACATTGAAAGACAGGCTCCTGCTCATGCAGCTCTTCGATCTTCCAATTTGGCATTGCTTGGATCGATGGCCCCAGAAGACGCGTTAATGCTGCAACTAAAAGGAGATGAAATGGAAAGACGCTGGCAAGCTTTGAAAACTAGAACTTCTGATCTGAGGAATCGTTTAGAACATAATGCTGACTATTGGAATGCTCTTTTACTGTCATTAAGAGAACTAACTGAGTGGGTTATTAGAAAAGATACAGAATTGGGATTAGCAGCTAGACAAGACGACCATCGAGCGTTTCGCCAGCAGTTAGAAGACAAAAGGCCGTTAGTTGAAGCTAGCTTGAGAAGTGCCCGACAGTTTGTGGCTGGAGATCCTTCTGGAGAATTAGCCAGAAATTTGAGAAGAGAGTTAGTCAAACTTTCAGATAAATGGAACGCGTTAATCGACAAATCAGATCAGTTAGCAGCACGATTCGAACAAAATACAATTGTATGTTTACATTTATTTTTAACAATCCTTTATTATTATATTATACTTTTTGTTTAAAGAAATTAAAACAGCTAACATTAAATCTGGAGGAAGCTTCGGCAGCTGTTTCACGCCTTGAAAGAGCTACATTAAGTTGGAGTGGTCCTAGAAGTGCAGCAGAGGCTAGAGAACTTTTAGCAAGTTTACGAAATTTAGAAACTCAACTTCCTCAATTGCAAAGATCTCTTGAAGAAGCACGAATACAAGCTGCTTCTTTAGGAAATGCCTTACCTAACAATTTAGCCACACAGCTAGAAGATTGTAGTGCGAGATGTAGAGCACTACAAGCAGCAATTAGGGAAAGAAGAGAGCAGCTGACTAGCACAACACAAGGTTAGTGTTTTTAATAATTTTTTTTATATAAAAATGGGATACTTGATGACAGATTTTGAGACAAGGAATGAGCAATGTTGCTGCATCCCACTTGTATGTAAATTAAAAATGTTGTTGACCTTCCTTGAATGTTTATCTAGTATTAGCGTAGTGAAAAATTTTCACTTCGACAGTAACTTTCACGGTTTTCAAACGAAAAGAATTCACTAGTGGCATAAAGGCAAAAGTATTAGACTCTTTTTTATAAATGATTACATTTTTGAAGTCACATTGAATAATCAAACGTGTAATTAAATTGTAATGTGATTTAAAGGTGTTAAATCATTCTGGAGGCGTTAAAAATAAACAGTTTACATAATTCTTTCATCGGCAAACGGCTATTGAGAAAACTCTGGAACAAACGATAAGTTTAGTGTCAGAAAACCAGCTTTTAAGTAATGTTTAAAAGAAGGTACTTTCCAAGTATGTATTACAGTTATTATTATTATTATATTTACTCAGATGTAGACTAGTTTTGACGTACAATAAATCACAAGATATGTTTTTATTACAACATACACTCTATTTTGTTTACAGTTATAAATAATTAGTGTTATTTAATAATCTTATTTATTTTTATTTTTAGTTACGTGTAAAATAAAACTTATTTTAAAGTTTTTTTGTAATTTCACACTAAAACTAACACCATCATTTAAAATCTGCCAGATTCTGAATCTGTGATTTGTTTTGTCGGGTATTTTACGAATATCATCACAAACATGCGTTTATCAAGAAATGTAAATAAAATTTCAAAAACTTTTTTTTAGTTTCACAATGTAGTGTTGTGGATAAACAATATCTCGGTTATCATTCAAAGTGTGACAAATGTTTGCAACGTTTATATGATGTGTAAAGATGGCATTAAAGTCTTCTACCGCTTTTTTAAATCTGAAATGTTAACCAAAATTTGAAATTCCGAGCGTAAAGCTTAAGAAGGGAATATAATAAGGCCATTTTAACAAATATCTAATAACACATTTTTCAGTATTTATATGCGTATTTCTCGTTTCTATATGTCTGTATGTTGCTGATTTTATTAAATACCTACATCGTAATTGCTGAACCATAAACTGATTGGTATAAAATTTAAATGTACTTTAAAACTATCATGTAGAACATGAAACATTAATCAAAGTTTGTCTACTGTTCCCTTAAAAAAAAATACAACTCAGATTTTGTTAAGTAAATCTTACTTGAAGTTTATGTAAAGGTATATAGATATTCCTTTACCTGTGCTTAAAAAATAAAATCGATAGAACACAGTTTTATAATTTCTCTAACGTACGTAACAAAGTTTATGGAATTTTTGAAGTACTAGTGTTTATTTAATTGTTACAAAGCATCTATTAAAATTAATTTCTGTACTTCAGAAAGCGGTTTTGTTTGTGCTTTGATGTAAGTAATATATTTTTATTACTATTTGAACGTACGCTGTTTTTTTATAAATGTCTGTGCGAGATACTTGAAAAAAATATGTATATATAAATGAAACGATTAATTTTATTGATTAATTCAAAAGTGATTTCAATTTTTTTTGGAATTTTAAGAAAACAGTATTGTTATTAATAAGTATTACATTATATGATGTATCAAAATTAATTTATTCGTCGCCGCTAAAAACATGATGTTTGAAGTCTATTAAAAGTAAAAAGTCCTTTTCAATTTTTTTTAAACACTAACATTGATGTAATGATTACAGGATAATAGCAAATTGTATTTGTCCATTCCCTCCTAAAATCGAAGTGAACTAAAAAATTATGTAAATGTTAATAGAAAGAATCTTTTGAAATACGACCTTGCTTAAGTTTTAGTAATATGCTTTTAGATTTTTCAGTAGCTTACAGAAGATGCCTTAGAAAAGTGTGCAGTAACATTGTGATTGGACACACATAAAAATTAACACATTAGTCCCATCAAAAAATAGTCATAAAAAAAATATTGAGAAATCTAATGTCATATACACGTGATTTTTATTTACTTACATCTACTTAATAAAACTCTTAACACACTGACCGACTGACTGACTGACAGGCAACGCACAGCTTAAACGGGTGGTTCTAAAAGCATACAATTTTGCACAGGAGTTTCATAGGTAGGTAGCACTAAGAAAGGATTTTTGAAAATGCATCTCGTAAGGGGGTTAAATAGGGGATGACAATTTGTAAACTCTAACATTTGAGAAAAGTCGAATGGTTCCTGAGATGTTGCCTATGGGAAATCCCCATGGGTACACGACTAGCATTTACATAAAATCGTTGTAGTTAACTAGTTTTGAAGTAATATTCTCGCCCAATGAAGGCACATCTTTAATTGACATTTTATAATGTACCCCATGTATTGTTTTTGCCATTTCTATTGAAACACCACCTGTTGATTTTGCTTAAAATCTAGCAATTGGTAACAGCTTTCGGTTGATTGACAACAGCTTTTTAGTTTAAGTTAGAAAATTGTCTGAATATGAACGTTGCCAAATTTAAGATTAACAAGTGGTGTTTCAATATAAATGGCAAAGACTATATAACTATTTTTACAAAAAAAAAAAACATGTTAATTAACTATAAGTCGTTGAATTCTACTTGAAACTCCGTTTTATCATTTGAAATTGTGATTCATAAAGTATAATGTACTGCCAATTTTTCGTTTGTGTCTATGATCTATTAAAAAAAATTGTTACTGTATTTATTTATTTATTTATTTATTTATTTATTCTGAAAAAATAGTACTGTTATTTTAAAATATGTACTGATAACATTAAAAATATACGGAGTGGTTTTAAAAGCAGTAGTTTGTATCAAATCTTAAGAGTTTAACTCAAAGATTACTTTATAAACTGCTTAAAAATATTGACAACATAGTCACATTGATTCGGTGTGGACAAAAATTAAGTAGTTTTGATAGAAAATACTTTAAAATACCATAACTTTGTTACAAAGTAAGATATTTACAAGTAACTCTATTTTTAAAGTATACATTATTAACTACAAAGCAATTATTCATCCCTCCAGAAACCTGGTAATGTCATCCTGAAAAAATATTGAATAAATAGTTATTGAAAAGCATTGCGTTGCTCTTATTTTTTAAAAATTGAGCGTTACGTAGCGTATATCATAAACAATTGTTTTGGACGTAGGTATCTTTTTATTATTATCCATATTTTAGATCAATTCTAAAAAATTAGGAGGCTCGCTAATTCTTATTTTTAGAATTTTAAACTTTATTTTCAGGAGAAATATCACCAGGACCGTCCAGTGTCCAACCTCCTTGGGAACGTTCTACAACACCTAACAAAGTACCATATTACATAAATCACAGTACTGAAACAACGCACTGGGATCATCCTCAAATGTTAGAACTGGCAACTTCTCTTCTTCAGTTGAATGAAGTGAGGTTTTCTGCATATCGGACTGCCTTAAAACTAAGAACAATCCAAAAAAAGCTATGTTTGGATTTAGTCGGAATCAATGCTGCTTCTGAAGCTTTCGATTTACATGGTTTAAGAGGTCAGAATGACAAATTGTTAGACGTTGCTGACATGGTTTTAGTTTTAAGAGCAATCTATGGAGCTGCTGCTGCACAACAGCCTGCATTGGTTGACGTCCCTTTATGTGTTGACTTGGCGTTGAATTGGTTATTAAATGTTTATGATAGTCAGCGTACTGGGCAGCTAAGAGTCCTCAGTTTTAAGGTATGCATTTAAATATTACTCGTTTATAAATGCTTATGTAATATAATGTAATAGGTGGGACTAACTTTGTTAAGTAAAGGACATTTAGAAGACAAATACCGGTATCTATTTCGTCTTATAGCCGATCCTCAACAGAAAGCAGATCAAAGGAAACTTGGATTGTTACTACACGATGTTCTGCAAGTTCCTAGACAACTAGGGGAAGTTGCGGCCTTTGGAGGTTCAAATATTGAACCAAGTGTTCGCAGTTGCCTTGGTGAACGTGAAGACTTAGAGGCTACACATTTTTTAGCGTGGCTAAAACAAGAACCCCAATCTTTGGTTTGGTTGCCTGTTCTTCACCGATTAGCAGCAGCAGAAACTGCTAAGCATCAAGCCAAATGTAACAGTTGCAAACAGTATCCAATCGTGGGGTTACGATACAGGTGTTTAAAATGTTTTAATTTTGACATGTGTCAGTCATGTTTCTTCGCGGGAAGGTTAACCAAGGGTCATAAATTATCTCATCCTATGCACGAGTATTGTGCGGCCACAACATCTGTTGAAGATATGAGAGATTTTACCAAGGCTTTGAAAAATAAATTCAAAGGCAAAAGATATTTTTTGAAACATCCCAGAATGGGATATTTACCAGTACGTTCTGTCCTAGAAGGTGACGAATTGGAAAGTCCTGTAGCATCTCCACAACATAATGACATGCATTCGCGTTTAGAAATATATGCTAGTCGTTTGGCAGAAGTTGAATTGCGTGCTGCTTCTCCAGAAGATGAGCATCGTCTTATAGCTGACTATTGCCAAACGTTAGAAGGAGGTCCTGCAAGTCCTGGCCAACTCATGTTAGTAATTGATGAAGAACAGAGAGCAGAATTACAGGAGATGATAAGAGAGTTAGAAGTAGAAAATGCCGCTTTAAGACAAGAATATGAACAGTTGCAAAGAGGTGCAACTCCTCACCCACCTCAACCCCAGCATGACGTGTTAGCAGAAGCGAGGTTGCTAAGACAACATAAAGGAAGATTGGAAGCCAGAATGCAAATCTTGGAGGATCATAATAGACAATTGGAAGCCCAGCTACAGAGATTGAGACAGTTATTAGATGAACCTCCTACGTCTACACTACAAACAAGAAGCGTCACAGCGTCCCAATTGAATCAAGATACTCCAGGTAGAGTCAATCAGCCACCACCGCCTGCTGATCATCGCTAACCATATCATTTTATCATATCAATTAATTGTAATTGCTTGTCTATCATGTTGTTACAGTATAAACATACTAATCATATCATAATACACATCGATGTGTTCGTTATTGTGTTTAATTCGGTGGCTAAAACTAGATATTTATTTTGTTAATATTGTTAATTTTTGCTAGATTCAAAGATCATCAGACAAAAATTAATAAAAATATTAAATATTTGATGTATATAATATTCGTTTTAAAAAACCAGAAGTAAAATCTATCGACAACATAAATTTCCGGCCAATTAATTTTCTCTGAAACATCTTAATGCTGTGTTTCAATTTATTGATGAAAAGAGGCATTTAAGATCACTGATGACCACTCAAATTGTGAATATCCACTATAAACAAATTTTGTTAAGTCAGTCATGTTAGCTATTCTTTGTATCTAAGTGTAGTAGTATATAAATATCTATATTTTTTTATTAATTATGCAGCAGGAAGATGGTGTTAGTTTACATTATTGACAGTCTATGAATGTGTGTTTTTTTGAAATTGAGAAATATTCTCGCACGAGACAAATCGAAGCCGTTCGATATATCAAGCCGGAACCCAGCTTTCGTACTCAAGACCGCTGCACTTGCAAACCAACGGTGAAATTCAGTTATCATAAGTTCAAGAAACAAGCAAAATATTCACAAAAAAAAAACAAATAAACCTAAAGAAATTCAAATAAAGTTAGTGTAAATATTATAAAGCTCCAAAAACAATAAAATGTAATGGTATAATTCAAAATATAAAAGATGCACAATTTAAGCATTACCTCCAGAGTTTTGTAAATTTTTTGCTATTGGAAGCTTTGTTAACTTGAATTTTATTGTCCGTTATTTTACAATAATTATTAAAAAAAAATGTATTTAAAAATGTTTAAACATTTACGAATTAAACTGTATCTAGAGTGCCCACATCCTGCTGTCTCATTAAGTAATGTTCTTATAAGTCAACATTTCCGATGAAAGTCGATGTAATAAAAGCTGTTGATTTTCACACTTGAGAAATTCTTTTTCAAAATGTGGGCTTACCAGAACTTTAAACAAGAGAAACAGTTCATATATAATATCAACAAGATATTGTTGGGATATTTTTAACCCACCTCTATCTAAATGTTTTAGGTAGAGGTGGGTGCATTTGGGGATACTTATAATTTTTTTTGTGTCGAAATTAGGTTTATACATTTAGTACAGTGTGATAACCCAAACTTACCGCCTTAAATTCTAACAAAATGGAACCTACGTTGTGTTTTTTTTTTTTTTTTTGAAAAGTGGCGGGAAAACGTTCTTTCATACAAGTGAGCATACACTGCGTGCAAGTCGATAGCGCAAGAAATAATAGACACAATTTTTGGGAGGGGGCTAAAACTCGCACACCCACTCTAGGAAGAAAAGAAGCGACGAGCTGCCCAATGAAGGCGGAATCGCAGTCGCTTTTCAACTCCAAAAACCCCCTATGGTTTATTCACCCACATATAATACTTCGCAAATGAAACACATAAAAATATGAAAGAAAGAGACAACCGCGAGTTGACAGACATACACAATATAGGAAACCGAACAAGTGCAAAACCCTACGTTTATGTTTTGAATCAATGCAAATATCTGAATATCACAAATCATGGCCGACTAGTATAAAGATTATGGCCTGTCCAAAGGTACTATATGTGCTGCCATCTATTACTAATTCAAAAACGACAAAAGGATTATTAACACTTTTTGAAAGGCACAAAAGCATTCATACCGAAACAAACGACCATTACACGTTTTGAAGTCTCATAATGTCAAATCAAATTAAAATTTTGCTAAATTATTAAGTGTAATTATTAATAGATGGCAACACATATGGTACCTCTTGGACAGGCCATAATCTTTATACTAGTCGGCCATGCACAAATTTAAGAAAAACAAACGAAAATCTGAATTAAAGTAACTGGATGCAAATACACAAATTATTCCGGGCGTGTGGCGTCAAATTTAAAATTATGGCAGTTAACAAGAGCACAACAAAAATAGCCATAAGGGGTTCTAGCACAAGCGGAGTTTGGGGCCACCGGTCGGGGCTGTTCTCCCCCCACGACGGTGATTCTATCTATCGCAAAGCATCTCTCTATCACGGACGTGCCGTACGTACCGGCTGTTCCGATCACAGATCCGCAGTTGGGTCTTGGCAATGGGGTGGAAGCCGACAGCGTTACAATATCGCGACCGCCCCTGAATCTATACAAACCTGCGCCCTTTGTGCAGGTAACGCGATAAATCTCGCCAGCTGAACTAGGAACCGCACTCCGCTTCTGCCACGTTTTCTGTGTTATTTAACCTCAATTCCATTTTTAATGTTCGATTTCTTTGACTCTGATATTAACGACAACTAAACAACTGTTAAAGTTTCAAAGGGCAATAAGCAACATTTAAATTCGCCATACAATCTTGTGAAATTTTAAACAAATACTTCTTATGTGAGATCAAAATTGGACATCAGATAATTTATACGATGGAAACATTCATCAACAAAATATTTATAAAACAAAACTTAGCAAAGATTTATAAAAACAAAAGATCTGGTGTAAAATAAACTTGTACAAATAAAAATATTATGTGAGGTTAAAACGTTAAAACTGCAGAGAATTAGATTTACGTTCAATTAAAATTATACAACAAAGAAAATTACTGAGGTTTAAATTGTGAGATAGAGAAATATTGTATGAGGTGAAAAATTGCAAAGCTAACAAAATTTACATGAGATTAATACTTGCCACACTTTATCAAAATAAGTCCCAAAGATTTAGCCACTTTACAAAATTTTCAAAAAAATTAAAGTATCGTCTATTTTTTTGATGACTTCATATCGTGGATCTCGATGACAAATGTTTTACTTTCTCTTTCAAATAATTTTTATGCTCTGAATTTGTAGGTCCTAATTTTATCAATAATTTTTTCAAATATTTTAGGTGAGGAACGGTCTAAATTTAGAATTTTCCAAAAAACTATTATATGCCTCAAGATATGTAAAATATAAGCTTGCGATCCATACTAAAGTGTCCGGTGAATATCTTATTTATTTCGCTGTGACTGACTGTAATTGTTTTCTAAAAACCTGAATTTTGAACTAGAAGCAATGAAAATAATAATTGAGTCGGGTAGAACACACACACGAAGATTTTGTCAGAATATCCTTAACAGTTTTTTTTTAATGTCACATTCCTAGAACTTACAGTCACACGTAGATCGCCGTAAATTGTTAATTTTTGCAGAATAGGCTCATGAGTCCCATTCAAAAACCTGTTGATTAGAACGTGATTTTCCAATAACTTGGCTTCAAAAAATGTGTTTGAATTCCTCTTTGGAGGTAAATTTGTTGTCATATATGACGCTTGATTCGGCAATATTGTTGGTTAGGCATCCTATGTCAATTTTGGGTTTTTCCTAGGTGTATACAAAATTGATCCATCCTGACGGGTTACTTTATTCTCCAAAATTAAGAAATTGTCTGAAAAGTGTTTTATACACACACGAGTTGAATTTGTTGGCGATGTATTTGCCTCAACCCCTTTTTTTTTCAATTCCGTATTAGATGGAAATTGAAAAACTGTTACATTTGGATGTTCTGATGTGGCGTAATTACTTTTTTAATAGTTGTCATTTCAAGTGTTGAAGATAAATAGACAGTTCCGTTGAACAAGGTGTTATAGTTGTAATCTTTGTGATAGAAACAATTATTGTTTTAATGCTCGTCTTAATAATCGTTGATTAAAATTTAAAATCATTGTACCATATGTTTTTTTTTATTGGAATAAGTAAGGCTTTGGAAACAAAAGATGTGAAAGACGTAGGGCCTTGTTTAATTATTTTTTATACATATATATATATATGTTACTATCATTGAGACAAATTGAGATTAAATTAATTAAATTATACCCTACTTTTTTGACATTTTTTGTTTCCAAAGCCTTTTCTTATCTCAATTTTAAAAAATCATACTATATGAGAGTACTTTTAGAATTGATTCATTAATAACTTAAAAATTTTCATACTGTATGTTACGTGGCCTATTTCACCAATTTTTTTGAAATCCAAGTTTTGTTTAATATCTGTTTTCCTTGTTTTATATTGCATGTTTTATTTAATAGCTCAAAAACGGTCAGTGCAGAAATAGCAGCATCTATATTCTGTGGTTTGATGTCCGTCAAAGGAAATTCATTCTTCTTGGCATCAATGAAGTTAATGTTTTAATGCCTAAAAAATCATAGTTTGGTGTAATATCTCCAACCTGTACCTGCCTTAAGGACCAGCATCGTTGTAGAGGTGTTAGTAAAACAAGATTACTACCACCATCGAACTGATCGAAGTAAATGACATTTTCAGTAGCTATGAGCCCACACAATCAGCCGAACTGGTCCAACTTACTTACTTTAGTTACCGTACAAATGACATCGACGATCTGCTGGGAGAGCGTGTTAAAGTTTTCATATCCATATGAAGAGGTGATGGATGAGTACACATTTGATTTTATGTGACGTTTAATAAAAACTGGAAAAAAAATTTAGAGGACTTCTCTGTTAGCTGACCTCAAGTAAAAACAACTCTTTAGTTATAGAACTTATAGAATTCAACAAGATACTACCTACGCGTTTATCGTAAGAATGCGGCAGCTTAAACATCGCCTGATTAATTTAAGTATTCCAACCTGAACTTTTATTTTTTACTGTCTAAATATAATTGATTTGTTTGTTTAATTTTAATAACAATGTTGGAAGGAAGCTACTTTTAGTGTATACGATTTTGACTTAAAATTTAAAATAGAAAGAATAGATAAAGAATAGTTTAGTGAATCGCATTCTTTTCCTTAGAAGTATGCGGCTTGTTTGGTGACAATTTTTCACAATGTAATAATTTCATGATCCCACGTAATAAATGAAGCAACAATGGTTATATATATCCAAGGTGGAAACCAAACAGAATTGTCATGTATAGATAAGCAGTGATGTGTTATTTTTCCACTTAATTTTGATTAGAAGGTGTGCTATATTTTCGTGGGATATCTTCAGGTGAGAAAGATTTCCATTCGAAAATCAATAGTAAAAATATAAATAGAAGAAGAAATTTTGCTCAGTTTGGAAGCACAAGAATAATGTAGCCATGAACGTAAAGTCTCCCAAATACTATAAGGTTGTTGTAAACTTAGGGTATTGTGAAGACGACAATGGAGCAGTTAATAAGGCATACCCACATTCTATTTGCTATGCGTTAATCTGTACATCCTTCTTCACAAGGATTATAGCAGATACCCTGGTCGAGTTCACATACGCCCCAAATATGTATATGAATGCCCTTTGGTTGTCACGAAATTCTTTAATTTGCTGTAAGTAGTTATAACACCATTTGAAATATTCACCAATTTTCATAACAAAATGCGCTCAACTGAACCACCAGAGTTTCTCGAGGAGATCGAAACCGTGTCAAAGGCATGGCGGTAGAATGAGAGGAGGGAAGAAGTTTCAAAATGTGCTTGGTATACAGTATAGTATACCGAGCTTTCGACTGGGATCATAAATGGCTCGTTCAGCTCCTCTGCCAAATTGATTGTTCCAGTAGCGCGCGTTGGAATGTATTTGCCGCGTACGAGTCACAAAAACACAAAAATAATTTAATAAGAGGGATGCATATAAGCGCGGAAGATTACAGTACACACTTACAATCTTCCTAATGACTTATTGATCAGTTGCCCATGACACATTAGGTTAGATATCGGCGCGCATAATTTTCGGGAGAGAACTTCGTCTACCTTGTGACATACTGTTCAGCTCTCCAAGTGAAAAACCAAAGGAGGCCACAGATTACAACGACTTGGTCAGGTCAGGTCAGGTCAGGTCAGAAGGAGAAGCTGTTGAGCGTTCACGAAATGGTGCGCCACAAGATTCGAATGAAAACGAGCTACGACCTTAAGGGTAACTCAGTAGGATTCCAGGTAGGGGATTTGGTATGGCTTTATAACCCGCAAAGAAGGAAAGGTCGTTGTCCAAAGTTGTCACCAGATTAGGAAAGCCCATATACTGGGCCTACGTCAAAAATGAAGATTATTCATTTAGACCGCCTCATGAAGTACAACAGTGACACCGATGCCGTTTCTGATCGGAACGACGCTTATGGCTTTTCTGAGTAAGTACATTGCTGCCATGACTGATGACTCATAACCGGTGACGGCGGCGGTTCGAGTAAAGTAAAGCCTGGAATCTGTTCGCCGCCGGTAGCCGTCGTGGGCACAGCCCTCAATCGCGAAATCTCTAGAAAGGGGCGCGTGGCTGTTTAAATAGGGACCACTATCGGTCTCTAGTCCAATCCAGCTGGATTGATTAATGAGCACAAGTCAAGTTACGTCGCAATTATTTGCTGTATCCAGGCCGATTTTAATTACCGATCATAATTGAGGTGATTATGATTGTGTTGAATATAAATACTTACCTATATATAAAGCTTCTTAAAATATGAAAATAAGTAAGGGTTCAAGACGGGTGAATAAAAATACACTGATGTAATAAAAACTTAATAAATCACTAATAACTTACATTTGTACAACAAAACAACAATGAACTGACTCGGCAAGTAGTAATAAATACTAATTATGTGCGTCTACGCAAAATCAGCGTTTCTCCAAGATTTAGCAGAGCAGACTCCTGGTCCTCTCCACCAGTCATTTACATCTTCATAATGTCTATGTACTCGAGGTGCATGCAACATTGCACAAAGTCTACACCAGAAATATGTATTGATGAACTGTCCAGTCCCTTTCCATTTAAAGTAGGAATTGTATAGTGTATTATCTTTATCCAGTCTATGTAAATATGCAGCTAACTCCGCAGGGCCAGCAAATTCATCTACGTGAATATAAGAACCTTCTGGAGCACTTCTTTGATAATCTTCTGGACGAGCGCCCATTACGATGGGTAATACGTTTTGCCCTAAACCGTTAACGTAAAATTTTTCGGTGATATAATCACGGCAGTTGGAATTTTCAAATGCTAAATAAAACTTGTAGTCTCGATCTAGTAATTCGAAACATTTTTTATCCGAACGAGGACACTTTAAAGGTCCACAACTACCATATATATCCACTGAGATATATTTGGAAAGCTCGCGTGCATAGGCTAATCTACCATTGCGCGCACCACAGTTCGATACGAACCAAGCAACTTTTTTGGTTTTGTTAGCGCTGTAATCACGATTTTGCATTTTCTGACGAACCTGCAACAAAACATAAAGCAAATGTTAATAAAAATTTCACACAAATAAGTGTCAACACTTAAGTACATGAAACTCACATGAACCTAAAACTACTACAATACAAAAGCTGTTATATATATTGTACGTTACATTCCTGTTAACACTTTTCTTTGAATTCATTTGTAAATGGAGCATGTAAAACCAAGACCATTTATATCTGTCCACTTGATAAAAAGTAAAGTTGGTGACACTTTATATTTTAGTTTTTTATTCAATACGGTTGACATCGACTGACGTTTTATTGAACGTTCATTAATTAATTAAAGTGGTAACTTTGAGTTAGTGCGTTTTATTGAACAAAGTACATACAAAATTTCGTTCTTACGTTCAAATTCTTTGACATTTAATCTCACCCAAAGTTTCCCCCATTTTTTTCCAAAAGTCCGAAAAAATACTTTAACGATGCCAATTTTCGCGGGCGTACCGAGCGCTGAGGGCGAATCCGGGATCGCCGAGCCGACGCTGCCGAAAAACGGGACTCTCTCGCAAAGTCTTCGCTGAACAAGAAATGGCTCGCCCCTGTGTTGCAGCTGTGAAGGAGTTTTTTTCCAAGTTTTTTTTTGGAAGTGAAAACCGACCACCGTAAGTATATCGTTTTGGGTTTTCTGCCTGTTTGCGTACCGTTTTTGTTTTTTCTTCCATCACCGCAAGAAACCGAAACCGTTGAGCATGCATCGTTTCCCGCCGCCGCGCTCCCCTCCCGGGTTGCTGTACCGTTCCCGCGCGATTTCTCGTTCTCGGGTCGCCGCCCCCAGGACCAGGAGGAGCCCGTGCCGACGGAAGTGGCCGTCCAGGAGGGAACGTTTATTTTTTTATATAAAACCGCTTTGTAGTTAATTAATTTTAGCCGTAAAATTATTTTAGCCGTGTAGCTGGTGGCAGGGAATAAAAACCGGATTATTGTTAATTTTCCTCCGTTTGATTTTATTTCTTGTTTCCGTGAGCGCTCACCAGACCACCTGGAGATCCGTGTCTCGGGCTTTAGAGCAACCCCGGCGTTCCTTCCCCAGAGAGGGAACTGGCACCCGAGCACCTCCGCCCCCGACCGAAGGTGCCACCGCCGGTAGCGTGAAGGTGACCTGATAAGCCCAGGTCGACCAGACGTGTTTCTTTACAGCGGCACTAGTCGGCCCAAGGCTTGGCACCGACGTACGCCACCCCCTCGCGTTATTGGCGAAATTCCGAACCGTCACAGTCCGTCACCGGAATTTCGCCAAAAGTTTTCCAAAATTTACACTAAGGAGTAGACAGATATAAATGGCCTGGATTTTAGTCATCTATAATCATTATGATGCGACAATGTCTGACGTATTAAATATTAAGTCTTAAAAAGAAATGGTAGGAGAAACGCAAATTATGAAAAGAATAATTATTATTTAAAAAATATCTTGACAGAACAGAACTACTCATTTCCCTTTGTTATGGTTTACGGTAGAAACACTATTAAGCCGTAAGAAATCATTAAAACAAAGTGAGTATCTATCTCAATACAATTTCCTCCCACTAGCCGCACTAAATGTAGGTAAGTGAGCTCGTGCGAATAATTTACGTGTAACTACAACGTTTTACTGATGTGATCTCGTCAAGGTATTTCCACTTTAGTAGCACATTCTGGAAAAGACAACTTGCTTGTTCAGCGCCAGCTTATAAAGTTTCAACTATTTACTTTTCTTCTACCCAAGTTTTAATGGTAAGTAAACTAGTTATGATTTGACTATCCAATAATCTCATAAGCGATTAACTGGAGGAAGATAAGGTTGAAAATTTTAACTTATTTTAGGATTTAAGATTTTAAAATGTTGGAGGGCATACGCAGATATATGCACTGCCTTCTAAAGAGAAACATTTCCCTCTACGAAATTCACATGGGTGAGTAATCAAATGACGCTAGTTGTCCTTATCGTGACGCCTTATGATTTTGAACAAAACGTGTTTCTTAACGATCTTTACGAAATAAAGTAGACATCAATATTTTTTCTTCATATTGGACAAATTGATTCGATGGCATAAATTGTTTTCTGTCTGTTAGAAGTCTGACATAATTATCCTGATATGGTCTGCTTTGCCAGGCTTCTTCTTATTCATTTATCAGCAACATTTCTTAATCAACTATTAAATTTGTCATTCAAATTGCAGGTAAAAATACTAGTGAGTAATGACAATTTTTATATTTCTAACACACATAAATAAACGACAAACAAGCGAAAATCGTTGTTAGGTGACATTCTATTCAGTTCGAATCGTGTTCGTACATATTCGTGAATGCACAGATAACCTTTTATCTCAGTCATGTAACTAAACGTTACTGTTTTTACACATTACAGCATTTTAAACAAAGTTACATTGCGAAGCAGTAAAACCATATGACTAAAGAAATTTTCTTTAAAAAGCAATAAAAGTTTTATTCTTCAATTTGTAGTCTATAAGATATTCAGCATGATCCCCAGAACACGGTCGCCACTATATCAATGTGTAAAAACCCTAACCCCTCACTCTTCTCAGTTGCGATATATTGGTCTCAGTTTCAGTATAAGGAAATTAAATGTTACATCCTGCATTTCCAATATCTTTCATTTCACCACATTAAATTGTGATCAAATCCACGTCTCTGTGTATTTTAGAATGAATCTCCTGAAAATTTTGACGCAAATAACGTTTCTTTATAACTTAGCTTTTCTACGATTTTATAAGTAAAAAAATTTAAATGGCAGTGAAGGTCGGGCTTTTTTACTACAGTTTAAAAAGTAAAATATAAATTCAAGAAAGAAAGGAAATATTGTTTGTTAGCTTTTAACAAAATCGGAATATTAATTAGACGACCTTATTACGTTTAAAGTGGGTTTCTGGAACACTTGGTTGAAATAAAGCAGATAACTGGTTTCACTTCTGTCAAGAGGCCAAAGAGGTTAATACTGAATGTTTACTAAGATAACATATTTTTTGAAGTATTTATTTAATAAAGATGTTTTTTTTGCATTAATGATTTTTTTTAATTTTGGTATCATATGTAGAATGAATTAACTTCCCAAAGAGGGGTCACTCAATCCTCCAAGGCACTTAAAATGTTTGAGCTATATGTTATAGTTTTGAGATTTGAAGGTTATAACGCCTTACTGTAAACAGAAAAAACGTCATTTGATTACTTATCCAGAAGTTTTAAATTTCAAGACTGTACGTGGATCGGTTCCAAGGGTTGTGTAAGTACCACTAAGTGACTATTAATGTTTGTGATTTTTTTTGTCAGGTTACCAATATATGTTTAACATTTTAAGATGGCATCCCTGTCAAATTGAAATTTTGTGTACCAAGCAGTACCAACTCAGTCGCTGCCATGTTTTCGTCAAGTTTGTTGCGTGCCCAAAGTCCCTATATTAGTTATATTTACTAATATAAGGACTTTGTTACGCGCCTTCATGTGAAATCTGAATTGATAACCAGAGAGATGCAGTTTTAGGCCATGCGACTCCCACCACTTTCCTTCAGTAGCGCGCGATGTTATTGCTTCGCTTCGCCCATCGCTGCATGTTCGGTCATTTTAATATTGGTGACTGAGATGGCAGGCATCGCAGTCGAAATGTTTCATTCATCAATACGTGAGGGTTTGGCATTATTTGCGCTTTAGTTATAAATTATTTTTGGTTAATTGAAAAGGATTTTTGTTTCCGTTTTTAATTTTTAATATTAATTGAAGAAGTCGAGTATTTATTCTATTGTTAAAGGGTGCAGCTTTTTGATTGTTTCCATTTTTAAATTTTTATTTAAAAGTTTAATTTGTACATATTTAGAAATTTCATTTTTATTTATATTTTGTGATTGGATTTAATTTTGAATTACGTTATAATAGTATGTATAATAATCACAATAGTGTTCAAACCGACGCTAATAGAATTCAGCAGTGATAAACGAACTTGATGAATAATATAGAAATTCCTTTTTCCGAAATTACAATTCAAACAAGAGTTTTTTTATCAAATATTTATAATAGTCCAGTTATATTTACGTTGCTAAGGGCCGGTTGCATAAACGCAAATCAAATTTAATCTCTGATTAAGAACAATTGTAACTATGATAATAACAATCGTTACTATGGAGTTAATCAGAGATTAACTTTGATTTGCGTTTATGCAACCGGCCCTAAAAGTATACCAAAATAACTTTAAATGTATACTTATAAGTAATAAAATTTTATCGCATCATTAGGATTATTTGCCGAATCGCATTAGGGTCCTTGCAAACTTGTAAGCCATACTGCGTGCGTACAGAATTTCCTGTGTTCCCCCAAGCAGACGGCCTCTGGCGGCCGTACCCGTATAATTTATGGTTTTAGAAATTTGCGGGTCGGTTCTTTGACTAAAGTTGTAAAATTGTATTAGAATATATTTAAAGTGATCTTACAATACAACAATACATGCATGTTTAAATATGCCACACCGTATTCTTTTCGTTTTTAGTATGTAGGTACGACCCTGTTCATAGACGATCGATCACGGCGTGCGCCCATTTTAATGAGCCCGAACCGCAAGGTTTATTACTGTCCGTCATTGTCATAATGGTTTGGCTTAAGTAATAAAAATTTTACTAGGTACATGTCAACTGAGCTTACTGTACATTCACAACGGACTTGTATCCAACCGGTGGAGGGTACAGCGATGTATTTAGGTGATAGTTTTTGTTTTTCTTTGGCACGCTCAGCTTCTCAATTCGAGTTTACCCGAATGAGCGTTTCATACAGCCTGCCCTCGAAAAAAGCATATCAAAGTCTTCACTTCAAACGCATGCGTGATGTGCCTAGGGAAGTTTTCGCTTCAAAATTGCAGTTACATGCGTTGAATTTCTTTCGCATCTGAAGCACAACGTGGGTAAATTGGAGGAAATTTTTCATTTTTTTCTACAGCGGCATCAATTTCTACTGGGAATAATTAAGTCTGATATGTATCAAATCATCTATGTAGATGTTCTATAACACTACTCATATAATTCTAGAACGGAATGAGTCATTTTTAGATTGACAAAATAAATTATTTTTTTGAAACTCCAAGAACGATTAGTTTGAAGGTGGTGGTGTTGGGTCGAGTCGGAAGAATAGCAGGCTTACCATTGTTTCAAAAAGAATTTTATGACAGTCAAACAGTATTAGATGGCATGTCTCGGCTAGATTAGTTGCTTAAACGGTTCAGCGAATTTTCACATGTACATTGAAAAGTTAAACTGCTATTAGGTACTTTTATAAATGAAATTCAAGCTGTCAATATTCTTACAGCTCTGGAGTTTACGACAGAATAATCTTCATGTGATTAGTGACACTAACCAAACTAACATCATCAGGAAGTGTCTTGAAATGCTCTAATGATGCGAACTTGGTTGGCAAATATCAGTGTGGTATTTGGGGAGCTCTTATCTTGTTGCTGTGTTAAAAGGGGGTGATGCAATTTCCTCGTGTGTCGGCGTTCCCAGCTTTTTCTTAGTCATTTTGTTTGCATAACTAAATTGCTAAATTTTGTATTGGCGAGAAATGAATATTACACTGCTGGCACAGTGTAGTGTTCTAATAAGTAAATGTGTTTTATTTTACATTTCCTGAATAAAACCGCCACCTTTCCGGTTACACGATTTGACCTGATTCTTTGTCGTGCAACAGAACTGAGATACATCGACAAAGTAGGTACTTTATCAAACGACAATTTATAAATAAACTCTGTATTTAATTATCGTAATTGGAATGGTATTAGACGTCCTAACTATTCTTAACCCAAAGTCATAATATTAGATTATTACACGTATTTCATAAGTCGATTATTGTGGCACGAATGAGTTTTGACTACGACTAAAATGTTAATAATACAATTTTTGGAATTTGCTCGTAACAAAAATCATTTGTTGCATCGACTTTTTAACGGAATACGGTCCTGAACGGGTGCCGAGGCAACTACAGTGGGACCAGCTATTTTCTGAGTTCATTGTTTTATTGGTACTTGTCCCACCCCTAATAACTACCCGCTAATTAAAATCTGTTTTTCTAGCGTCAACAGTACAGGATGCTGATTATCTTTGTTCAGGGTTCATTACAAAATTCTATTATTCCTATTGTATGTTTATGGTTACCACTGAGAATGTCAGAACCATAAAATGTAATACCACTGGATAAGCTAAATATAGTATTCCCAGAATAACTACTTTTTTACGACTGCATCCTATTGTGGTAGAATTAAGTTCCTCCACAATAGGCCGAATTTTACCCATATATCTTCAGTGAACGAATGTGGATTCAGTCCTATAAAAAAAAACTAACTAGCATTTAGAATGGCTAGCAAACTCAATTATCGCAAGCATTATAGGAAGTGTAAATAGCCATGGCATAAATCATCTTAAGGTTTCCAAAAGCTTGAAATACAGCGCCCAATCTGCTTTCATTCGACGAAAGTATGCGTGTGGACAAAAATCGGCCTATTATAGAGGAACGTAACTCTTCCACAGTAGAATGCAGTCGTAAAAACGAAGTTACTCTGGGACTACTATACATTTCGAGGTTCTGAAAACCTTATGATGATTTAAGGCACGGCTATTTACACTTTCAATAAAGCTCCTAATGCCATAAAAACGAACTAGCATTTAGAAAAGTTATAAGAAACGAATTTACCGAGAAATGAGTAAATCCTCTTATCAAAAAGTTTAACACTCGATAATCAGTTCAACAGACAATAAAACCGGTACAGAATTTGCAAGATTATAATACATTGTGCATTTTGATATGTCCAGATAATTGAGTGTTCGGAAGAGTAAAGCATTTTCTTGAATCCGTCTCTGGAGTGGATGACGGACGGGAGCAGATAGCGTCAAAAAGATTTACAATTATCAGTTTGCCTTAATAATTCCTCCATTGTGGGTTTCACCATATCCCAATTTTACAACAGGAATATAACCTTACAGAATATTGAAAACTACCTATAGTATTTGTGGTTCACTAAACGACAAGAAAATTAATACAAAAAATATAATCTATCTTCAAAATAAAACGACGCTTTTAGACTTTTAAATCAGTATGGAGAAGAATAATTATGCTACAACAATAGATATAGTGATTTTCGGGTTTGACTCCTTCACTACACCCTTGTCAACGCGTAATGCAGCTTATCAGTTGCAAATTTATGATACCATCCCAAACTTAAATAGAGTAATTTGGCTGACACGCTTCTCCTAAACAGGAAAGACGAGGAGATTCGAAAAATCATGGAACCATCAGTGTTACGAAGAGAATATTGCGATGTGGCGATAACCACAAAATGGCTGAAAGAGACGTATAGTTGATCGTAAAAAAGGGTACATTTATTTACATCTAATTTTCCTTTAATATAAGGTATATATAATAAATATCATCTACATGCTAGAGTCAATTTTTAAATAAAGATTTAGTTTTATTTTCTGTTGAAATCACCAGTTTTTTGGTGGTAAATATATCGATTTTGATACATACGTACAATGCAGTACTAAAGATTATAATGTTCTTTAAAATAACTGACAAAATAAATAAACTTTTGTCGGTAATGGATATATTATATTATACTATTTGATTGACTAAACATAAAATAAAGCGTTCACTTCATTTTTTTGTACAGGTTTTTTTTTTATAAATTTTTTTATTATTTTATTTTACAAACCATTATTGATTCATCAGTCTATAATATAAATTGATTCATTTGCTAATTTCGTTAAACATCCTGTACAAAGTTTATGTATTACTAATAAAGCGCCAATAACGTTGCATCTCGAAGGACATTTTTAACAAACATTCAATCAATAAATTTTTGTGACGTCATTAATTTTCCAGAGGGGATGACTAAATGAACTTTAATTGTTGTTTTTGTTCTGTAATCATTAAAAAAATGTAACTTGTCAAAATTTCAAAAAAAAAATTCTAAACAAATGATTTTACAAATTGCATTTTTTACGAATGAGGGTAAGGCCAGATTTACCTAAAATTTTGAGTTTTTAGGAGGGATGTAAATATGGGTTATTAGTTTATTAGTGATTTACCATGCCATATCATTACACAACGCCAAAATAAATGTTAACTGGTTAAATATGACAGATTAATGGAAATTTGTTCACTTGATCATTCGCTCCTACATTTTTGACTTTGGGATTATTTCCAAGATCGTGTCTAGGTATGTGCCTATTAGTACACAGTACACCTCCGGTTAATACAGAAATATTGAGATAGAATTATTAATACTTATCGTGAACTTTCCTTTTGAAATAGGCTTGTACTATCATCTGATATGTTACGTTAATCAAGTTAGAAAAAATCATATACATTAAAGTTAGGTCCTAAAACAGCATTGGCCTGGCGCGTTTTTTGCAACACATTCTGTATACTTCATGCATTCTGTTTTGTGCTTTTATATATAAGACAGAAATCTATCACATCCTAATAATTATACTAACTAGATAATATAAATATGTCTATTCTCGAAGCACACACTTGAATTGTCAATGTTTATTTGGCAGGAAGCCATGTTTTCTTGGAATGATTGTACTTACGTACAATAAACAATAAAGTGTCAGCTTATACTCATGCATCTTACCTGCGTATCAAAATATGTCCATCTTTCATATGGAGCGACTAAATCACTATCTCTTCGGTAGGTTGCTGTCCAGTTGATAACATCAGGAAATTTAATACTTTGTGTGTGATACGGGCATTCCAAAAAATACATTATCCATACTTGATTTGCAGGTCTGGGCACTGAGGGATGAATAAAGTGATCTTTGTATAAAATGGCGTCAGCATCGGCGGCTTTGCTTCGATCGTCGCTTAAGCTACATCGGTTCACAGGACATCCATGGAAACTCCCAGACCCAGATTTCTGGCCCCATGCGCCCAGACCATTATAAGCGAGTATTACTTTTTCCGGACTGTCAAATCCTGAAACAAAAATTTTGTTTATGCACCAATGCAAACAGTCATAATTAGAAATATGTGATAATTTAAAATCCATTTCATTCATAAAGTGATATTTTGTAATTCGTTGTGCACAAAATTTGTAGATTTGATCTATATATCTCTTTGGCGTGCGCAATTAAAGTATACAGTGTTATATTTATTGTAGAAATTATCATTCTTATAGGTACTACACATTTAAAAATTGGAAATATTTCTTAACAATAATAATAATAATAAAAATAAATCATTTATTTGCAACATGAAAACCCAGTTACAGTAAATAGTATATAAAATAAAATAAATTAATATACAGTGATTAGTTGCACATACTGTAATTTAAAACTATTATAGTAGGTACGTACGAAAAAATTATAACTATTCTTAAGTACCAAAATTAAGAACAACACAATATATGTAATGTGGAAAGTGAGGGAACAAAATCATGAAGCCTGATAGTACAATACTCAGTATACCCGGCCGACGAAGTGGGAGACGTGGCTTCGAATCCACTTAGGTTGTGACCTTTTCCCGCACTTTGACATCCTAAAAAAAATGTATGAACTATCTGAAAAATAAATTGTATATTTATATAAGATTGACTCAAATTTTTTTGTAAAGAAACTGGCCTGAACATTACCCTTCTTTTAAACACTGGGCAAATAACTGCTTTCTATCAAACATAAGGAAATTATTTCGTCATTAACAGAATTGAATAATTAAAACAATGGACATAGAAAAATTGTAAAACAATCCTTAAATAAAAACTAGGTATTCCATTTGTCCGACTTAAGTCATAGTATTTTTAGAGCATGGTATTAGACGCTTAGGCACTACAAGAATTTTACACTCAGAAAAACCATTGACATAAATTGGAGAGTTAGAATAATGGGATTTTTCCTGAAATGGTGAAAAACTGGAAGGAAAAAAATTCATATTGACGCTATTAAATTAGTTTGCAAACGTATCAACCATTTCTTGAGGTTCAGGAAGTTCACAAACATTATGCAGCACAGATCAAGGGATTCGTGTTTATCCTTTTTTACTTTGAACAGAAGACCTAAATGCTTTTACATGGATGACAACCTGATAACATCTGTTTCAATTTTGGAAACATAATTTTTACAAGCTGGTTGGTTGCCACGGGAGCGGTAATATTTAAATATGTCGTAGCACCTACTTAATATTGAGTTCCATGCTTTTTATACATACATTCTTCACATTATAAATTTCATACGTATGCATTCAATCATTTCACAATTAAACACAGCAAGATAATAATTATAAAAATTACGCTTGCTTCCAGCTTTAAATTATTTAAATTTAAGCACAGTTTCATGTAGAATGTTAATTAAAACGGTATAAAATGACAACCATGGTTGATCAATAATTAAGAGAATTTAAAAAACCTCAGTTTACATCAGGCGAAGTTCATTGTATACGACATGTGGAAACTAAAACAAAGAAGACTAAAACTAGATAGCATGAAATTTGCAAAGCGTGCAATCTACTTTTAACAAATGTTTGACGATAAACCTAAAAGTTGAATACAATGTTACTGCTCCTAGGAATTTTCTGTGAATACTTGGTGCATGATATCTTGATAACACAACAACATTCATTATCGTACAAACATCGAAAAACATAAAAAATTGTCGCCACCCACCCGGTATATTATCTAGACTAGACAAAACTAAACTGCAGTGTTTGTGAGGTAATAAACGTTGTAAATTATACTCAGTAAATAGGTTAGATTTTTCACAAAAACCGTGTAGCCCTTTTAATAATACCTTAAAAACTTTGACCATATTTACTTTCTGAGCGAAAGCTAAGGATGTATAATCTACTCGATTAGGATATACCTCATAAACCTATATACACCTCAGCTTACAAGAGGCTGGTCGGTCTGTTATCGAAAACGCATGCCAAATCATGTATTGCAGGACATGGGTGGATTTTCCCAAATACCATTCCTTTTCTGAATTTCAAATTTTATCGAAATTAATATATAAATTATCTTGTCTAACAAAAATCGACACAGATGCTGGACAGACAGATGAAAATGGGATACATATATTTTTGTTCTATAGGAGTCATTACACATTGAGAAAATGTGAAAGTAGCCAATCGCCCGACGAACTCGATTACAATACTTCCTTAGCTTTACACTCGGAAGTTTCACTTGATATATGACATTATGGTCATGGATGGTGTTTTCATATTTTTTTGTACTTCAATAAATATCAGTTTTCACAACATAAAGTGAGTAAGATGAAAATGTCCACGATAAAAAACTCATAGCAAGGATATTTTAATCTGTAGTCTCTCTAAATATGCCGCAAGAAACAAAGGTATATTTTACTGAGTAACAGGGGCGGCTGGTGCCGGGGGGCACAACAGCACGCCCCCCCCCCTTCCCCAATTAAAACGTCTACAAACACACTGGATATAGCAAAATACTAATTTTCAATATTTAAAAAATTATCGGGAAATTTGTGTCATAATTATCACAACTAATTTTTTTATCTCGCTCCACTTGTAGAAAATGTATCAAAACTTACATCCACTTACATCTAAAGATGTTGCGTCTTGGATATATGATATGCTGAAGTACTGATAAAAGCCGGAGACCGAATCATGGCTGATTTAGACGTTTTGTTTACACCGTTGCCATGGAAACGGTACGTACGATAGCGATATTAAAGTCCAATCCGGTCCTGCAGCTATAGTGCCCAACCGTAGTAACTCAATTGCGGGTTTTAAATTTCATTCTGCGCGAGTGAAATTGTTTGATTGTAAATAAAAATAATGAAGTCGGCTGAATATTTAATTATTAAATTAATTAAAAATCGTCCTTTGTGTCACGACGTAAAATTTTAGTGACAAATTTAGGAAGAGCCTCCCCCGATTTATTAATAAAAAAAAGTGTTCATGGCAAAACAAGAAACTTTCATAGACATTTTAATAGACGTAACACGTATGATAAATATTCTTGAATAATCTTCTCGGTAATACAGACATTGGGAAACAACTAGACACTGCCTATATTAAGTACTCCTAATAGTTTTCGAGCACATACGGCCAGAAATCACCATACTCATATATTACACCGATTGATAATGGGCATAAAATTTTGTGGAGTGTTCGAACTTGCTTTACGTGGACATGACGAAAGTAGGGAATCACAAAATCCAGGTATATTGCGAGATCTCATTGATTTTACGACTGAATTGGGCTCTGCTTTATCAGATCATTTGAAAGAAGCAACGGTTTTTAAAGAAACGTCTAAAACTGTCCAAAATTAACTTTTAGATGCCATCAACGTAAAATTTTGACCGAAGGCAAAAATATATGTGGACAAATAGAGAGAGTTTTGTCATTATCTTAGACAAACTAAAAATTTATAAAAATATTTATAATCTATTTCGGAGAATACTTACCTAAATAAGAACTTCCACTGTAAATTTTAAAAAATGCTTCTAGAACATTCTATCGAATTTAAGTTAAAACAGATAATAGAGTAGTATAGTATATGGTGTTGCTATATAACTACCAAATATGTCAAACGTTCCAAAAATACGCACACAATTTTAAAAACTAATTATTATTAGCCAATAATACTCTTATTACTTAAAAAATTGATTTCCTTATTAAGCTTTTTCCTCTTGTAAATTTGTAGAATGCGATTTTTTATCAAAAAGAAGGTCCTATTATGCTTCCAACACGATTCTTTTTACTATTGTAATAAAAATTAATTATTTTCAGAATCTTAGTTAATTTAAAAGGAACTCTTACTAATACATAGTTTACTAATTTATATATTTTCAAATTTTCACCATTCTTTTTGTTGTTCTAGATTTTAGATTACCTTTATAATCTTCTGGCACATACATAAGCTGATCGATAACTCTATCCCCATCGGTTTGATCAGGGAATAGCCTTGGAAGTCCTTTACTGGCGGTGGGGAACTCGGTTCCTCCGTTGAAAAACCACGCTTTTTCGGCGCTTTTCGAGAGTTGCTCCGTGACATGTTCTTCGGCTAAAGGTACTGGTGGTAATGTTGTAGGAATTAAAGTTTCGTCGTCGTCTTCTGAAGGAATTCTAGATTTTGTAGAAGACCATGTCATACGATGATGTAAAGTCACCAAAACTGTCACACCTCCGAAGAAGAAGATTGCTAGGCACAGCCGGCGCGCAGACAATCGCGGAGGCATCTTCATGGGCACTCCATTATTATCTGGTTAAAAAATTTCAAGTTAAACCAAACTTAAACACATACCTACTAGTACACTTTTTAGGGGGCGTACGCCAAACGCGATCATTCTTTACAGTAACTTCCTACATATGCATTCATCATATAGAATGTTCACAACCGATATTAACCAGAAACTGTAAACGAAGCTTTGCTCTTTTAATTTACAATACTATTATTGCCGTGCAAACAAGAGGGTGCAAAATATGAATTTATTTATTTACAAAAGAAAACGGTAAACGAATGTAATGACTTTGTAATTTAACACTTTTAAGATTTTTGTTTATAAATTTACTGTTTGTATTTTTACTCGTTTTAGAAATACATGAAGTTTGATAAAACGTTTATAGACGTTTATACTATCAAAACATGTTAAAATAAAAATAAATATCCATCGAGCTACAGCTATATCACCATATCCAGCTGCATATTTACTATATTCTTAATTCATAACTGACCAAGAGAAAAATATACGATTTCTACCTAACAGAGCTCATTCGAAATAATAAGTGTTCAAAAGGCTTGAAGCTGGATATAATAGATAATATTTTAAATGTATAGCATGGCATACATGTTTACCCACGATTTGATACCTAATACATTTCTATTTTTAACTCTACACATACTGGTGATTCTGGAAAAAAATCTCTTCAATAATTAGCATTTTTCGTAAGGATAAATATTTAAAACATTAATTAAATAATTTGAAATTTAATATGAAATTCAAAAGCAATTATGACATTATTCTGTTCTACGAATTACAAAACTTAAATGACCCGATTTTTAAATAACAGAAAAAATTATACAGACTGTACCTGAAAAATAACAACTGGGCTTGGTCAGCCCATTTAAACTAAATTTTACTTCCTATATAGTACGTTTTAGTTATTATGTAGAATAAAATACCTCTCAAGTACCGTCCTTTGAGCACGCTAAACTTACTGATAGATAACACTTTTACTTAAGGTTAATTATAAACTGTGTTTTTAACTAATCGTAGACAAGGACTTTTGCGATGGTGTCGAAAAAGTGAAAAGTTTTTATAAATTAGTCAACAATGTACGGTAAACAGGTGGATTACTCATCAAAAAATGTCAATACTAAAGTCTACTTCAAATCAGTTATTAGCTCTCCTAGTAAGCTATGGAGATTCAAAAACGTACGATTAGATTGTATGTCTAACAGTGTACTTCTTTCAAAACTGACATAGTAGTATCTAATTTTCATTGAAAACTATCAGTCTTAAAAAGAAGACCTACTTATGACCACTTAAGTATTATGAACAACAATTTGTAATAAATATTTTTTTAACTTCTTATATTTCTGACAGTAACATAAAACCCCCACAGAATAAAATATGCACTACACCAACACAAATAAATAAACGTCATGCCCAAAACTATTACAAGAACCGTAAATTAATATGTGCGATGAAAACGTCTGTCATAAATTTAAATTGATTAATTTTAATAATAAATTAAATAATTTCATTTTGTGAAAATTTGATACAAAAACATACTGCTGCATATTATATGCTAAGGATAATTTGATCATACAAATTTTTGGTCGTATTATTATTTTTTTCTGCGTGAATTATTTTATAATCTGATACACAACGAAATAATATACTCTGTATATGAAAGATTATAAGATATTAATAATTATAAAACTTTTCTATAATTTTAATACAACAAAACATTCAGTTTAAGATCTTCTATCTCTAGAACAGATCGTATCAAACTTGGTAGCAAAAGGTTAACCTTATCGAAGTTAATTGTTCCGAAATTCGAGAGTCACAACCAACCCCCACCTGTAGAATTATATGTATTTACATTCATTGTCCCATAAATAACTTATTCAATAGTAGTTATGAAAATTCTAAACTAGCAAACGCTCAAATGTATGGAATGAAAAAGTCTCTAAATTCCTTTTCCGTCTCCGAATTCCAATATTTTGACGAAAATGGTCTTAAAAAAATTTAAAGGCGATTAGAACAATTTTGGGATGGGAATAAAATGAAATGATAAGGTTTCTACTATTATTTCTGCAACTGCCAGAAAATGCAAAAAAACCATTTCTGAAACAATCGGTACAATAAATCGGTTTTTGTGAGTGTCTTAAGACGAATTTTTTCGATAAAGATTTGGTGATTCAATAATTTGTTGAGATCATCAAGTTTCTGAAGGGAATGAATAAATAAATTTTAATTAATATTCTGTGATTCCTAATTCTACACATTGGTTGACCAGAATTTATTTTTTTCTGAGACGTATGAGTAAAATTTAAAATATCGTGAAATGATAAAACGTACATAAAAGTGCATGCCATACTGTACTTTTAAGATTTACCACAGACCTACTTAAGAAAAATTATTAAATATTATGTAAGTGTTTATTAAAATATATTTTGCTGTATATGTTTGAACTGACTTTGAAAAGAACCAACAATCTAACTTTTTTATTACCTTAAAACTGACATATTTTATTTCAGTAAAATTCGATGATTATAGAATCTGCATCATATGTATACATATATACGTGTAGAAAGATAAACCTTTATCCTATGCTTGGAACTGCAAGCTTGATAAACATGCAAGTTCAATCGTTTTGTACTGTTGGTTATTTCCATAGAAAATTATCCAACAGATATTCAGGCATGCTTGTACAAACAGATTGATCATGCACGCTTGTCAAGCTTGCATTTGTATGTGGGATCTTTACTGAAAAATATCTTCTAACTTTATTGTACTGCAGGATAAATAACAAAAAACAAATAGAACAATTCGGGTGTTTTACCATCTCCATATTTCTAAAATGCACGTACAATTTTAAATCGGCTCATTGTTATCTTGGACAAATAAAGGTAGGTATATTTGTTTAATCGATTTTTGTTCCAAGAATGATAAAGTTCTTAAATACAACAGTGGACGATATCTCACTAGCTTGAAAAGCAAGAACGTGGAAAAAATTTAGTCCATAAAGCAACGGAAGTACATTTCATTTATACGTTTTTATTTATATCAGATAAATAAATTATTTATCTTATAACTGATCTTAACTTATAACTTCTAACTTAACGGGCATTAGGACAAAGTTCAAATTTGGTATGGCGTAACACTCTAGTTTTATTTTTAATTTTACATCATCAGAAACAAATTTGAACCATAAAAGTATAAGAATTCATTTCACAAATGAATCCCTTACAAGTTTTAGCAGCACGTTAACATTACGTTAGGGTTATTGAATAAATTATTTGTTCATGTTTACCAAAAATTGGATGATTACATCTTTAAAAATAATTTAATATATTTTTTTAAAACACACTATAAGATAAAAAGAGTATGCGGTTTCAGGTGCTAGACAAATTAGTATTTCGAACATTACCTAGCTTTTAAAAAAATATATAACATATGGCACTTTTGAAAAATTATAAATTACTTTATCAAAATACTTGATTTTCTTGTTTCTAGTTCATGTTCTAATAGCATAAACTGTTTTGTACAACTGATCTTTAAAAAATTCGACAATGAATTTAAAAATGAATTTAAGACGAGTACCTATCACTGTAACAGATGAATAATTAAAATTTAAACTCCACAAACTTTTATAAATTAGTAAATAAACAGTGTAAAACACGTCAAAAAAAGCGTCACCGACCACACTGTCAGAGCAATGTTGAAATATCATCATCACAATCAGTTAAGTAAATCGTAAATCACTTAATCTTCATGTATACATACCGAAATCACATAGAAAAATATACAGGTCCAATTTAATAAAATAATTATTTAAATTAGAAATCCTATTTTTTTACACTATACATACCTACGTTTATAGGTTAATACTAAATGCCAAATATTCGGAAAAGTAAAACTGATAAGATATAAAATGATAAGATATGAGTTAATTTATATTTACTCAAATCACTCCAGTAACATAGAACTTAATATTTTTTCTAACAAAAATCTGTAGGCTTTAATTTTTCTATGAACATTTAACGTAATTCACTGCTATCCTGAAATCAACCGATATTAATTAATAGACATTAAAAACACATTACTTACCATTTCTAGTATGAAATTAACCTTGATTCTAAAATTTTACATATGGCTTTCATCAGCGTTGTGCAAAGCATTCCTCAGATTCAAAATATGTTACATAGTCTATTTCTAAGCTACAGTAAAATAAATATTCAGTAACTGTCATTCATGTTTGTTGTTTTCTGCTGAAACTATTGATGTAATTTATTAAACTTGTTCAACTTGTGAAAAAAGGTATTTTTTATTTGTCCTCTAAAGCTCTTTTCATTTTATTTTCATTATCCTTACGTAGAACGACTCAATTCAAAGCAGTACTTTGTTACCACTCTGTATATTATTATATTTTCACCTTCAGCCGTCTCAAGATCACTTCACCTGTCAAATACTTAACTATCAAGATTTCTCCATTGTAAACATATCAGGTAGTAATAGATATTAAAGTAAACACATTACTTTCTACTTTACACCAAATTTATCACAAAAATAAAACATCGTGTATTTTGAATAGAAATAATTCACGGTTTTCATCTAACACTAATTTTAGTAGTGATCAGTTTTTGACATGATGTTATCAAGAAGCTATACATACAAACATGTAATTCTGCTAATCACTTATTATATTTACAAATATAAATGATTCCAGTTAACACGATATCTCCAATATAAAATACAGCATGTTCATAATATAACTACAAAGCTTCATGTTATGTTGAAAGCGTAATTTGCTCACAAGTATGAAATTTTTAAACTAAAATGGAAAGAAAATAAATTGTTCCATTGTATGTTACCCACATGCGTCGGGAAAAGTAGACATTTTTTAACTCAATATAACTCAAAATATTTCGGACTAACGTTATGCAATAATCCCGCTTGGGTCTACTGTTGCTATCTGAAACAAATGCCCCAGTGATCCCGAAATTTCAAGTGTGAGGTTATAGTGAAAATAACGTAGAATTATACGAGGTAGAATGATAATCATAAACATTACTTGACCCTATCTTCTGTCCTTCTAAGATTTCCGTTTCCAAAGCGTGCGCAACCAAACTGGAAACACTACAAGTCTGTCCCTCCCATTCCATGGCTCCGTCATATCAGTATATACAAGTATCTACTCTCTAATCTATGTGTCATATCCAGGCCTGCAATCCCCCAGTTGAAATAAGGTGTTTTACGGCGAGTAGCGGGGACGCTTTGATCTGATCCACAAGGTCGTAGTCAGCGCGTCGCTAGGAGCGTCTACAGCTAGTAAAAAAACTACTTCTATATTACTATATTACTTCAAATAATAATAGTCGATGCCCTTTTTAATTTTTCAACCACAGGAGCACAGATTTGTGATCTTGTGGTTGAAAAATTTCACATACACCTGTTAAAACTTTTATGACTTAAGCGGCTTAAGCCAAAGCACCTTTATAAGTCAAACTGGCTATTGTAAGCTTTGTGGACCCGCACCGCAAGATTATTACTGTCCATTGTTGGCATAATGTAGCTGTGAACTGAGTTAAGTAATACAATAGCCATTTGACTTATGAGGATGGTTTGGCTTAAGCCGCTTCTTAAGTCATAAAAGTTTTAACAGGTGTATGTCAAATGAGGTTACTTTTTTTTACTTCTGTAGCACTGGTTGCGTAAGCTCCAAAGCTCCAAACCTGATGTCTTAAAAGGATAGAAGATATAGCTTCTTTTGGGCTCAAATCCTCTTACTGTGTCTTGGTGTTTATCATTCTACTTCCTTTATTCTATGGTTAATGGTAAAACATAACCAAATTTTATCTGTTCTTTCCTTGTAAAAATAAGTGCTACCAACTGAAATTATTGTTAAGCGAGTCAAACTAGAAATATTGAAACAGACGCGGTCGTTTACCTATTGGTTTACTTATGTTTCAGCCATATACTTCTTTAGTTCAAAGTAACAAATTTTGTATGCAAACAGTTCTAATGAAACTTATATATTTTGCTATGATAATAAAGTAGGTATGTACCTCGATAAACAACATTATCAAAAGGAGCCTACAAGAAAAAATCTAGTGAAGCATTCAATTTATCTTCACTTACATCCAAAATAGGGCAGTTATTTTCTATTTTCTATACAACAAACAAATTATTAACACTTCGTCGCAAATTTCCCTCTTTCACGGCTTAACCATAAAAATAATCCAAATGATTCCACATTCCACAAATTTACTTTAACTATAAAACTACAATTATTAAATTTAATGTAAGTGAAAATTTAATACAAATCAGTTTTACATGTCAGTTGAGACAGATGAGAAACGTCATAATTACGATCAACGTGGACTCGTCTACGTAGATCACTATTTTCCCAAGATTTAACGATTACTATTACGTAGGAGTCGTGCATAGGAGTATCAAATAAAAATAGTTTTAATCTGTATTTATGAGCACTTGCGTTGGATATGATTGATCTCAACTTATTGTGACCACATTTCAAAAAGATTTAGCAATGTGAATCTATGACTAAAATTTATTGTTCTATACATTTAGCAAACTTCGATACAATTTAATTTTGATACATTTTTTGTAATCCAGGTTCAGGTGGGATCGGTATTTTGGGTTGCCAATTTTAAAAACATAAATGGGTCATCTTGAATAACTCTGTAATGCCTTGTATACAGGGTTAGCAGAGACTTTAAATACATAGACTGGCTGTTAGTAACATTTTTAATGCATTTTGGTGAAGCCACGGCGCATGGTAGTATGGACGCCATTGCTATAACTTTTATGTCAAATTAAGTGAGGTTGTGGTGGTTAGCAGTAGTAGCCTCTAGCACAGAACGTTTCTAGACCTCGAAATAAAAGTGGTTGTGTGTCGGGACTTACGAGATTGTTTGTAAATATGGCCATTAAAAATGATTTGGTAACTAAAATGTTTACCTTAACTTTGCAAAGTAGGACCATACATTTTTTTTCTACATAATGAACATGGATTAGTTGGACGTAAAAAATTCTTATTTTAATTTATTGCTTAAATTAATTTTGAGAAATTATTTGACTCTCGGAATAGGTTATGAGTGCCGCTTAAGTACTGAGCGTGAAAAAGCTATCTCTTTAAGACAAAAATTCACGAAATTAATTTTGTTTCAAGGACATTAATATTTTTAAAGGAATTTACATATACATATAGATATTATTATGCTAAATAAATAATTACAATTTGTTGTCTTTTTTATTTAACATTTTAAATTGCATTTTGTGACCGGAAAATTCAAATTTCGCGCACTTACGGTTATAAGCAATATGGCGGTCGAAAAACTTCACGTTTTTCCTGACACAGCCAGTCTATGTATTAAAGTCTCTGAGGGTTAGTCACGAGAAAATTACCACAGTATAGATATCATTCAGTAGGGACAACTCGTGTCGGGGCCTTTGATCTTTCTGGTCGTTGCCTAAACTATTTCTAGATGTCGTCACCCTATTTAAAAATGATCACAATCGCAAAAGAATTAAAAATAGTGTAAAAACAATAATATTTTGTAGTTGATCTTAGAAACCACACAGTCTATTATAAAAATAATAAATTAAGTGCCCTACAACAGCGATGTCGTGCTGAAATTAAATTTTGGCCCCGCTTCTCTGATAACGATTTTGTGTTTTATTAATTTATTTTCCATGCCTTGATGGCTGTAAAATTCAACGTTATTAGAAAACGCTAATATACATTTTATTTTTTTTTTTTTCTTTTAACGAAATAGTAAACAATGGTCCCATCAAAACATGAAGAATGTTTTTTAGAACGTCTCTGTGGAAATTACATTTAACTGAAATAATTCCACCGGAAGATCAGCCTTAAACCATCAAAACCAATGCAACTGAACTGCCAAATTTCAAACATCTCCCATTAAAGTCACTAGATAACCAAAGTACCGCAGTTCAATGTTCCACTGTAAGAAAGAGAAGTCCCTTGCGTTGCGCGCCCTCATACGGTCACAATACAAACGACCACCCATGAAAACGGGTTAGTAAAAATAGCGAGTTGTCCCTACTGATTGATATCTATACTGTGGAATTACTTCTGAAAATAATTTTTACGCAACCCAAAATACTAATACTGTGGACTACTGGATACTACCTGAATTTAAAATGAAATGCTTAATCCGTGATTGCTTTGACTTTGGCAGTGTCATGTTGACAACTGTGGAAAAGGAGCTTACGCAAGTGTCAATAGTCGCAGCGTAGCCACTCGGAGATATTCTTCGCTGCCGCCGCTAATATTTTCTTAATTTGTACGGACTTGCTTCGAGCGCCTCTTAATCTTTTGTAATAACATGGATTAGTCATGACAGAATTATTTCTAAAAATTACTATTACGACATTTTATTCAAATGGTACAACGTAAACTTAAAAAAGTAAGTAAATAATTTAACTACTACAACAACTATTGAAAATGGGTGGGTGCTATGGCGTTTTTGTAAATGGGTGCTCGAAGAAGCCCAGAGGCTGCAGATTTGCATTTCGAAGAGGCTCTAGGTGACGCAGAGATGGCGAACTAACACATGTACATTAGTGGGGAAGATATTGGGGGAGCACTTACGGCTTCAGTATAGCGCAGATTGATAGAGGTACGTCGATCCAATGGGGTTGCAGAGCGGAGTAAACTAGGAGTAAACGATGAAGAAAAATGTTAGAAAAACTAACGTCAAAGTGACATTGCCAAAGTCAAA